GGGCGGAAAGCAACCTTCTATCGGCGGCTATGTAGGATGGCCGGCTATATTAAAATAACGCGTTAAAAACTCTTCCCCACCGCCGCGGGGCCTGCACAGGAGGCTAAACCCACCACACTTATCCAATGCACATTTCCAGCTTCTAGACACAAGGGGTGAAGCTCTCTAGAATTTCAATTAAGGTAAGGGAATGCACCTACATGTATAACTATAAGGCTTGATAAGACATTGTTTACTCAATGGAGGCTGGGGCTTCTGTGCAAAATTTCTGCCCATCTTCAAAAGTTCAATCACCAGATTATTGGTGAGAACATGTGAAAAAGATTATTCCCATTGTACTGACATGTGAAGTTCACATGCCTGTATGAACAAACAAGTTCTCGCTGACAGGACTGTGGTTTGGAACTTGGGTGGTGTACATCTGTGCAAAAACTGCTGACTGTCAAACCATCGAAAATCACCACCTCATCATTGTAGTGAGAAAAGCCAAAGGATTATTTCTACAGGGGGCAGTTGAATGATTTCTCAGACCCCTTCCAGTTATTCAACTTATTGTATCGAGAAATTTCACAAATGTCATGACTGTATAAATGATACATGTTACATCTCCTGAAGGATCACAATGGCATATACATTATTACTTATTTAATTTCTGAACTCTGAACAGTTTCTCTTCCACTGACACTGTTCACTGCATTGTGCACAGACTTTTCCACTGCTTCCAAAAAAAGAAGTCAATCCCAAGAAAGCTTAGGTTGTATTCCATAGCAGTTCTTAGTCACTTGTTCCACTCTCACCATTTGTTAACATTTGCACCCTCTGTGTACTCTTTCTATGCATTGTTTCATGGTAGTAAACTTTATTGACTGTACATGACTTGATTTCAGCCTTCCACCAGAAGTGGATTTTTAGTTGTTATGCATATAAATTTTATTGACCAGCCGCTGAGACAATCATATTTACACGTGAACTTCACACGTCCCTGTGAGCACACAGTTCTCACAGACAGGACTTGGATTTGGCTCCTGTGTACACTTGACTGACAGAACAGCTGTGGGGGGCAGGGTCTTACATATGGAGCACAGGACTTCACAAGGAGGTGGGAAGAAACCATTGGAGGTGTGAATCTCAGACGACAAATTTCCCTCAGCAAATAAGGCCACCCAATTCAATTTCATGGCTCTCGGATTTTAGGAAAAATAATGCTAGATTGGAATATCGACATCGAAACAGAGTCTGGGGAAAGTCTGTGCACACAGGAGTCAAATAAAAGTTTTCTCCAATAATTATTGTATAAGTTTTGTTTTCATTTTCATTTAATTGCATTGTAGCAGACTCCAGGAAGAATAGTGTGAAATTTATTGTATTGGTAACCCTAATGGAGATCAACAAATTCCCCTCAATCCCGTTTTCATGATGTCTGCTTGATAAGATTGTACACCGCGTGTAAGAACCAGAAAAACCAACAAATTCAGTTTTTTAGGCCCAAACTACATGTAGGAAACAACGTAATTACAGAGATGCTGATCTTTCGATCCCTTGGACAGAATTCAACATCTGGGAAGAAATCTTTGGAGATGGCAATGCCTAATTATACAAGGCGGCAAATTTCCCTTGGCAAATACACTAGACAAGACGACTCTGCCCCAGGAAACGGCATAATTACAGAGACACACAACCTTTGATTTAGAGAACATTTAGTAAACATTGTGATAGCTCACTATGGTGGCATTGACTAATTTAATTTACAACAACTTTATTTTAGTTTTTATGGAATACTGCCAGAACAATTAAGTGACTTGCTATGGCGTGCACTACAGGATTTATTTTATCCACACAAATGACCCAGTTTGCTTTAATAGGCCCCTTTTCCCACTAGACAGCAACTGCTGAGCTATCAACATTAGGTCTTTGTGACTTACTTACTTACTTATCCTCCTCAATTCCCTTGTGAAAATCTTAAGTTTATAATGGGAACATGATGCACAATGCGAAAGTATGACATACAATGTCATGTTAAAGACAACAAAACTATGAAGTTAGAGATCCATCAAATATTGCAATCACAGCCTCTAATGGAAAGGGGTGTTGGAACAAAACTCAACTAATATCCCATCATCGTTAGATATAATTAGAAAAAAAGCAAGCTCACCTTTCCAATGCAGTGTCCTGCTGTGAGATAGTAGACTGCAAGAAGAAAGAAAGGGAAAGTCAAACTACAGCACTTTCACTTCAACAGTTACAAAACATGGTTGAACACAATGCAAAGAGACAATTGTAACAAGTTGGCAAAACAAACAGTTCCTTTAAAAGTAACTCTTTGAATATACAAAGAAGTTTGACAATAGAAACTCTGTGTATATACCGAGGTATACAGAAGAAAGATCTTCTCAAAACAACATTTGGCCACATCAGAAGCTTGAACAGGAAATCTCCCTTTCCACACCAGTGGTGCCCTTCAACATCTTACTTCCCCTGTCTTACTGTAAAATCACCTACTTTTGCAGTGGTTTTATTTCATGGCCGAAGGAAAACAGAGCTTTTTGCAGTGCTTGAAGTACACAGTTGAAACAATTCTGTAGTACAGCAGGAATACATTGGAAATGTTTATTTGGGGTGTCGTGAATTTGTGGTAGAGAGGTCACCGCAGGAATAAAACCACCGCAAATGTTTCAAGGTTTACAGTACCAGATGGGGCTAGTCATCCCCTGCAGACATCCAGGCTTATCTGTAAATTCTCCTTCTCCTACTCCACAGCTGGGACACATGAAGGGTCCACTCCTCCAGGCAATCCCCTTGCCTGGGGTACCAGACTCTTTGAAGGGCACTCTCCAAGCAGAGGTTTGGGTTACATTTGGGATGTTTTTAGGCTTTTTATCGTTTTTTTTTTCAATGGAATTGTTGGGGAAAAAAATCCAGTGCAAAAAGAAACCCTGATAAAAAAGCCTAAAAACATGCCAAAAATAACCCAAAATTCAAACCTCTACTTGGAGTATTTCTAGGGCCCACGCTAGCCAGCTCGGTTCTAGGGCCAACGTGCCCCCAAGAAAACTTTTGCCACAGGCCCTCATTCCTCAGGGTATAACTCATGGACAGGCTGTGGTTGATATTTCCTAGGGGACATGTTGTACACTCCAAGCAGAGGTTTAGGCTTCAGCTTGCATTTGTGTGTTCTACTTCTACGGGGTCTTATCAGGCTTTCTTCTTTGTACAGGTATCTTTTTTTCACGCAAGCATTGGGTGGCAAATGGATATACAGCCTGGCCAATTTGATATTGAAATTGAAATACGTTGTACCTTTTAATTTATCATTTTCATGCCATGACGGGTTAGGTACAGGTCAAGATATAACAGACACATAACAAACCTATATAGAAAAGTGGAGACAAAAGATACACTTCTTGACTTAGACATACACACATACATAAGGAACATACAAGGATACTATACTAGGCTAATAAAGTGTTCTAGTTACTGAGCTATTTGATATTGTCTAGCAGCCACCGAAAGATCTGCTTGGAGGTTAAGCATGTTGGCCTTGGATCTGGCCTGTGTAGACTCTGGAACTCTGACATCCAGGCTAGGCTCTGACCTGGCACAGGAATCATTAAGCCCCACCAGCCTGTCCCTCCACACTTTATCATGTGGAGCTACGGAGGACGGAAATGAAAGGCGATAAAGTTCTTACCTGGAGGCGACACAAGTAGTCGATCAGGTTGGCGACCGAGGAAATGTGCTGTGGGAACAAAAAAACTGAGATTACACAGAAGCCAACTGTCAGGAACAGCGTCTTAAATTGGTTTTAACTTTTATGCTGTCCCTTTACTGGGATAAGCAAATTTAACACACTGCAACACAAGGATTAATGATCCATGATAATCATGATACTAGTAACCTAGCAAACCAAAGAAGTACATTGGGTATATTATGTAACGTTAAATGTGCACGTCAATTGATTAGTCAACCTCTAAACTTTTTACAAAAAAAATCTACTTTAAAAATTGCCCAAAATTTGAATCAAAAGCCACAAAAAGAATTCTTAGAGTTAGAAAAAGAAATCTTGACCTACATACTTCTGTACAACCAAACCTAAGCAGACTGTATCCCCTCAACACACATCCTGACTCCGGCAGCACTACTTCCCAGGACCTGCCACACCACACCAAGGCCTACACTCATCTATGTACATGTACAAGTGTGGGGGCAGGGTGGGCACTACTGTTATAGCACCCCAGCGCCAAATATGGAGGTGAGAGAACTAACAAGTCTGCCTTACGCCAGCCCTCATGAGTTGGTAATGAGTTACAGACAGGACCACTGCTGGGTCAACAGGACATGGAGGGAAGGTAAACTACTTGGGAGGTTGAACTACACACTGAGATGTTGACATGATAACACACATGTAGCACCCCAGCATTGTGATAATGAACATGCCTCATACATGTAAATGTATGTCTCCTACTGCCTCTTAAAACATTTAAGTCTTGAAAAATTTGACTGAACGTTTTGTTTCCTGTTGTTCTTTTTACTTAGTCATGCTCTGTACAAGTAGAAGTGCTGCACGTTATTTTTTTCCAATAAGTTACTGGTCCAAACAAAAGAAGAGCTACATGTACGTTATGTATACACACAAAGAAGTTAATGGCAAATCCTTCTTAAGAAAATGTACAAAGGAAAAGTGTACATAACGTCTGCCCAAGGTTGAAAGGATACAAAAAAAAGAAGTTGCTGTGCATGCAGTACATTTTACAGAGGCTATACTCTTACCTTTGCCATTACTGATGTTGATCTCATAACATGCTTAAATAAGCCTCACAGAACATGAATCTCAAATCCAATAAAGTTCTTACCTGAAAGTGATCCTGTGGACACAAGTTTCTGATTGAAGTTGGTGGCTGGTATTAATATAATATCCCTTACAACATTTCCTCTTTAATACTAGTTTTTCATAGACCTTACGTCAGTGCCCGAAACCAGTGCTATCAAATCATCCTCCCCTGAACCAAGAAGTTGTTCCAAGTGACAGGTTTACATTAGCCTGCTGCAACTCTGTCAAACTGCCAAGTACAGCAGAGGTCATGCCAGTATATTACCCCCCATAAATGGTCTAGTCCACAAGGTCCACACATCTGGTACTTACATCTGAGCTGGGTGGTACCAATGAGTACGGGGGTGGTGAACCTCTTCCTGAGATGTCTCCTGGGAGGGAAGAAAGGAAAGTCATTTTCAGTTTCCTGTTACTGTAGTAACCAGTATTGCTGAGCGTCACATCCTACCATCATGGCGCCTGGAAGTTGTCTCTCTTGTAGGGTAACTTGAGGATGAATCACCAAGGAAAACCCTCCCTCCAGACTTATTACTAAGCTTTCCTCAAGACATTGTTTCTTCCTTGTAGTCTGAGGTGTTCCTGTTCCTGCTAGCACTTCCTCTGTAGAACTGTAACATCATGTAATATTGTGACTAAATTAAATGTAGAATAATTTCTTCAGAAGATCAGAAAACTTGGAAAGGGCACGATTTCTTGGTTTAGGAGACCAGGGAAAGTCCAGTGACTAAAATAATACCGTTATCATTACATAATCATCAACACACTTTATACAACTGGAAAAATGCAGAGGCTTCTTTAAAAGTGGAAATTAAGACAATTTTTATGGGCCTACATGCACTTTCCTGTCTGCTTTGTCTATTAATTCATGCCTCCTTTCAGAAGCCTGCTTCCAATTTTTCCACTGTACATGTGGGTATGTGAGAATGAGGTCCCAACAGAAACATCTCCCAGTCCTGGGGAATGTTCTGAATGCAGTTAGGCACTGCTAACACAACAACAACCCTGGCCTGCAGTCACTACTCACACAGGCTGGGCTGCTGACATGGGCAGGCACATGCTGATTATGATTATGATTAGCGTTCTTGGAAGCCCTTAAGTCCGTCAGATGTCGTCACCGGGGAGATGTAATAATCATCAACATTGCGCAGCAAAAAAAGGGGAACTTTTCCATTGTTCCTACTCATTACTTGAATGTGCAACCTTGCAAAGTAGTTACACTACACACACTGCAAAGTGTTTTGATTTTTGCTTTTGATCATATTGGTTTCACAGTGATCATCTCAGGTTAATAAGAAATTTGGACATCGTTTTTTTAATGACAGTATGTTATACATCTACAACTTTCAAACTGTCACAGAGCTATTAAAGATTCAAACCTACTGGTACACTATCATTCCAAAATCAAATGCAATGCAGGTATATATGTGTGTACATGTATATCAAATTTGTGTCAACCCTGCTTGTGGACACTTGTTTGTTGTGTATCCTTGCAGGTAATCTTTACTATTTCCTTGGTCCTTCTCTACCAAGTACAACCACTGTGCTATAAACAAGGCTGCCTTCACCTCCCCAAGGGTGATTGATTAGTTAAAACGAAGCCCTCTCCTCTTGATTACAACACGGCCTCAACATTTTTGCTCTGGCTCTCTCTGACCCACGAATGAGTACCACTTGATCTGCGACTTTTCCAGGCTTTAAAGATAACGTTTCCATGAGTCATACCTCCTCACACATGCTCCACATGTGATTCCCATTGGTGAGCCTTTTTCTTCTCTAACATCAAACATTCCCCGGGGCCCTAATTTAGCCTGAACTGTTTGGATTGTGCATATGGGTTTTTCATTGGAGACTTGTTAGGTGAAATTGTAGAAGAGATATTTCAGTGGTAGTGTTACTGATGACTCAGCAGGAGCTGTCAGTGTGCGGTGGTCAGTAACTAGGACGGAGTGTCACAGGGCAGGGCACTGGGGGTGACTCAGGGGGCCTGTATGTACATAAATATACTAGTAACAGGTCTTTGCACCCGCATATGCAGTTAAGATTTAGAGTTAGCATTTAAATTATATTATGTAATACTGTAAATTTATATACTGCTTTTTGTACTGTCCCTTGCAATTAGTTATGTTGCCTTGTAGCCGGGCAAGATCTTGCAATAAACGTACAGTAGTAAATAACTTATGGTCAGCAAGGCTTAAGAATAGATTAAAGATACCTGTAGCTGTTTAGTAAAGATAGCTGTTTAAAGATAGCATTCATGCCAGCAGGGTTTCTGTTCACAAGTTCAATATCGTGCCAGTGCTGAAGAACCGAGAAATGCCTACACGTATTGTGTAATTTGTGTAACAAGCAGTTAGACAAAGATCCCAATTTGATCTTCGAGACTTGTGGAGCCAGCAACGAACTCCTCGGCACAACGGGTTTCTTCTGTTGACCATGACTGAGAACTTCCTCATTAATTATATTAATTAAGTGAGAACAGATGTACTGACATTCCTAGCAATGTTGGCAACACCCCACCTCTGTAGGTGTCTCTGGTCTACTCATTTGGACAATTTTACTGTCTTCCTCATGTCGTGAGTCTACCAAGGCTAGACATATCACAGTGCAGGCTATATAAGAGCCATGCAGATATTTCTGATTTCTACTTGCACTGGAACATGTGTACAGGAATGTATATAAATGTACATAACTCGTATATACCGGGTACATCATGTATGTAGGTGTATGTGGATTTTAATTTGCTGCATTGACCTCTACTACTACTACCTACTACTAGTATACAAGATAACAGAAATGATGGCATTGCTTTTTGAACATGTAATATTTCAGGTCTAGTGGTCGTTTGGTATTATACAAATCATAATAAGTCATAACCGTTACAAACAGTTTTTAGTGTGATCCCTACTGAGTGGAGGTAAAATTTGTCTGGTGCAGGTAATTTTCAATGTTACCTGCACCAATACAGGTATGCAGAAAAAAGTACTTGGAGCCTTACAGTAGTGTAAGAACCCCTCTTACCTTGAGAGCTGTGTTCGCTGGGTGTCTGTTGACCGTCCTCCTCCATGTGGACTTTCCTACTGGCACTGCTGCCTCTCCGGTCCAGTCCAACCTGTCACACCACAAACCCACATCTTTAATACACAACTCAAACATGCCTGTGGTCCAAAGCACGTCGGCAAAGCATACCATGCCTATACGAAACCTGGATTTTTCATGAATTTCATTCAATGTTTGATCAACATTGCATCGGTACTTTGCCTATTGAATATCTTTTCCGACACATCATTTGAAAACCATAGACTGAATCTCATCAAATACATGAATAGAACTTTAAACAAGACATTCTGTTTCTTGCAGGTGCAGTATGTTCTGTGGACATGCTCATAACAGTGTAGTCAAAACTGACCAAGAAGACTCAGGAGATCAAGAAAATCTGGGACAATGAACCTGTAAATACTTGAATGTATGCTTCTGTAAGAATTTTTCTAAACGAACATGATACCAGGAAAGGAAATGCTGTCTGACATTCATCTAAACGGTTACCTGAAAATTTGGGCAAGGCATGCAGTACAATATTCTCACACTAGGGGGAGCTTCTACACAGTGTGACTACCAAGGAAAGGCACAGGTCCTGGAGTATTATACAATGTAAATATACTGTAAATTCCTGATCTAACAAACAAAATACAGAGATTATTTCCAGACGTTTAGAGTGACATTCATCACTCTTCATCAGCATCACTTAAGTTACTGATAGAATTAGTCAACACTTATAACTGTTACTCCAAATGTCTAGAAGTAATCTCTATAATGACTATACTTTATCCAGTCTGAAATGTGTATGAGAGTCAAGAACATCATATTCCTATGTGAAGAATTGTAGAGCAGGGTGTGGGAGGGTAGCCTGGATGCCAGCCTGTTTACCTTCAGTACACTCTATTAGTCATTTTCTGCTAAAAAGACTGTACCAGCACATACATGTATTCTAGTGATGTTACATAATGAGCTGTTTCAAGCACTGTGTGCCAGGCATATCACAGCTCAGGTTTTGCCTATCAGTGTGTCTGTTCATATTCTCCACAAATACTCAAAAGACAGACAGATAGATGAATGGAATATGTGCGACCTCAGTCTCTTTCACAGGAAAGTGACTAAGGCCACAGCAAGTAATTTTTATGGATGACATTGACGCGCGCATTAATTTTCGCCTGATTTTGGGAAAAAAAAAGACATTTTGTTGCCTTCTGACAGTGGTCAACATGCCGAAAATGGGCAAAGATGTCTGTTGCCATGCCGGAAGGTGGATGGCAGATAACTATGACGAGAGGAGACAAGAAAAGGCTCTGATTTATGTTTTGTTTCTTACTTTGATGCAATGATATGTGATTCTGGCTGTGTATATGTGATGTTCCCACTGAATCAAAACCATTTTACAATGATTGAGTCAAAATTTTATAATGTAGGAACTTTTTTTTTTTTGGTCCGCCTTGTTTTTTTTTTCGCCCGCTCGCATTAGATTTGGAGTCTGCAGAGGATGTCATCCATAAAATTTACTTGCGGTGGCCTAAGATAATGTACTGAAGCTAAAAACGCTGGCATCGGTGATCCCGGCTAGTGGGTGGGTGGGTTGGTGGGTGGGTGTGTCTGGGCGTGGCTACTCTACCTTGGGTGGGAGACTGAGGATGGGTCTCAGGGGGATGAGAGAGAAAGCCTGAAGAAGAGCCAGCGACAGCTGCAGAAGGAAGGCCACCAAGCAACGGTCCGTTTCAATCACATGTGCAGGAACATATCGCCTAGTACTGGTATCCTGTCCCTACTTTAAGCTGCTGAGTCTCTTTCAGGAAGAATGAACTTGTATACACCGAACATGGTGTCTATCTTTCCTGTTGCTACCAGAGGAAGAGTAGCTCAACTGTTCTTGACTTTACTTGAGCTAAACTGGATCAACGTCTTCTTATACTTTTTTGTCGTCTCTGCAAAGAGGTCTAGCAACAAATTTCTTCATTGTTTGACCACAACAGTCAACAGAAGACCATTCAGGGGACAGGTGGTTGCTATAGACAGGATTCTTAATGCTTGTGTCAATAGGCAAAATTATCTAAGGGACCATCAATACACTTGTCACTTGCAGAGAAGATGAAAGAAACTCAGCAGATATAATAGGATGGATACCAGGCTAGTTACCATCACACAGGTAGGAAGATATGGAATGGCTACATGAGGCTTTGAAAAGTCATGAAAAAGGCAGTATCATAATGCAATCAGTACGCACTGACAACAGTGGAAGAAAATACATCAAGTTTAAATCACAAACATTCACTTTATAATTCAGCAAAATCAAACAATCATGCAAATTACAAAGAAAACATGCCACCAGATAAAGTCACAAACACCTACATGCAATGGGAAGAGTACAAATACAGAACTGTAGAACTTTAGTTGATGTGACATCATTCTTAAATGGTACTCATTGTATTTCTTAAAGGTTGTGAAAACAAGAATGCAGGCAATAGAGCACATACATGTATTGGTAGCAGCATAGAAATACTGAAGATACACAGCAATGGAGTAGATGTGATCTTAGAGAATAATAAATGATTGTCACACAGCCAAAAGACGATAAATCTGGTCTATGTGGACAGATTGTCACTATAGATAGGAATCTAAATACTTCTGTGACTGTCAACGGGATCTAAGGGATCACCAAAAAGTAGTCACAGAGGCCAGATGGTCCTTAAGAATAGGTTTCACTGTATTCCTATAGAATCTCTTTAACGCATTTAATTTATTCAATCAGACTAAACAAATCAAGGCAGGTATGGAAATGAACTTGCAGCTGCTCCAGTTTATAGAAAGTTCAGAATGGGGGGAGGTTGACAACAATGATTTCATGTATGGGAAGAAGGTACTTTTGTATAAAAAATGTCCATAGATGTCCATCCCCGTAGCTTTTGACGTGGAACAGCCATTAGGAATACACAAGAAAACAGTTACTCAAGTAACTGGATAGATTTTGAAAACTCTTAGACATTTCAAGTAGCATGCACTACTTTTCATCAGTGACTAACAGAATCTTTGGTTGAACAGGTAGCAATCCATTTAATTGTCACATGTATGTAAGTTAGAGATATTACATTCAACCACAGATTCAGATCCAGATGCTACTTGAAACATCTGACAGTTTTCCAAAACCTATCCAGTTCTTTGAGTAACTGCTTTCTTGTGTATCTCATTACCTGGATATCTACATGTAACCTTCATTGACGTACCTTGAATGACCTGTGTTCCTGCTCGGTGGGGCTGACGCTGTCTGACTTGCTGTGAGACAGCTGCTGTCTGTCTCCGCTGGCCCCGCCCACCCTGCTGGGCAGGTCGGGAGAACTGCTGCTCTGATCAGCATCGTTCAGCGTGGAGGCTGGGAAACGCTTCTTAAAGGAACCTGGCATAGAAAGAAAAATTGTTTTATTAAGATTATAGTAAAAGGTTGCAATTTATTCCAACACACAATTGTACAAGGGATCAAATTTTCAACGACCACTGTCGCCTTCATCAGGATAATCAATGACCAATCACTTCACAACTTAAATAAATAAATAAGTTTATGTATAGGTACATGCCATAGGTTAAGGTACAGGTCTGACAAACAAGTTTGGCCATCTGTGAGTTATACAATGTGGCCAACTGTCTTTTTACTAAAATTTTAGTGGCAAATTATTGTCTTACGTAAGGGTTTACGTATCTAAAAACAAGTACAAGTTTTCCAGATTTCCAAGCACGGACTTGTCCAAACTGTCATCTTTGACATTATGCAATTTACCTATTTCTCGTGTAAAAAAGAATAGTGTACACTAGTGTTTTACTTTGTTCAGGTACAGGTACACTAGATGTTCAGATCCTAAATATTTTTACAGGTACAGGTATTCGTATTAGGCACACAGCCTTACCTCTCCCTCCAGTGCCTGACTCCTCCTTGGCGTTGGCATCGAAGCCCCCAAATGTCCGGTTGCGTTTGGGCAGGACGGGGGAGAGGTGGGAGCCGCTGCCGTGTTCCCCCACGCTGCTCACACTGCGACTCAGGTGGCCGCCAGGGCCGTACAGCGTGTTCTTCAGGTTCTCAGCTACAAACACAAAATGGGAAATTGTTTGACATTTCACTTTGTATTCTCTAACATCAAATTGATGATATTGTCCTGAAGAAAGTGACAAACGTCAGCTACAACGTAAGCTGTAGGTATTACACTTGTTTGTGTTCAAAGAATAGTCATTAATTGATTTAACGACCTATTGAACTACAATTCTAAGGCTATTAGTACACTATCAGGACCAGTCAGATAACGTCATATCCGGTGTCTTCAACCGGTCACGCTTTTTTTACACTCCTCTACTTTTAGTCAGAAGTTGCCCTACTTTAGCTTTGAAAGTTCGAATCGATCCAGAATCGATGACCTGAGTTCTTTTAAGTGACTGTGTGTTTGTGATCCTCAACAGTAGGACCGTTTTTTTGCCATTCTTGGCCGATTCTTGGACGTTGTTGTGTGTGTCTGGGGAGGGTGACGCCGCCGCCATTGTTGCTGTTACCTGGGACGCGGACACTGTGTCATATGGCTTTGTCAGCTCCGGCAACCAACGCTATCTCTAGCTTGAAGGACAAGATCCTGGAGAGACTGTCGCGGTTTGAATCTTACCAGGACAATCCTGCATGGCAAGCAGATTGTATCGCAAAAATCGCAACTAACAATGCCCCCTCCACATTGGAATCTCTGAAACAAGTACGACAGGAGATTTTCGACAGCATCGAGAAGCTTCCAGACGACCTAGCTGATGGCAGGTTAGTGAGAAGAAACAAGAACACTTCTCAGCGCTTTACTCTCATCAAAGATGTTATAGCGTTGTTTAACTTTACTAATTTAGGGCAGGTCAGTAAAGACTTGAAAGACTGTATTCGCCCTAACCAAGACAATGGGTCGTCCAGTCAAAGCTGTGGAAGTGGGGATACAACGCTGTCTAATAACATCACTCCAAGGAAGGATTCACCTGATGTAACTGACCGGGTTGCAACTCTACCCGTGATCAGTTGTTTCCTGTGTGAATCGACGATCTGTAGCGAATCCGATGATCAGTCACAGGTATGCAGACATTGTAAAATGCTCCCTGATACGGTCAAGTTTCTCGTCGACAAAGTAAAACGGCTGGAAGGTCAAATACCTTCTAATGAAAACGACTATCGAAACTCACAGGATGATCTTGCTAGAGAAGTTCAGAGACTCCGAGATGAAAATGCCTCTCTAGTACAAATCATCAAAGACTTGACGAACGAGAAGACTGATGTCAACAAATTCTCAGAATGGTGTCATGTAAATGAAGGCCGATCAACACAGCGGCATAACAAACACACCTGTGCTGAGGATACCATGTCAACTTCCAATCGGTTCGCAGCGTTGGATGGCTCGGACGACGTCCAGCTGGCCTCATCTGAAGAATGCGGCACGCGCATTTCTGAACAACACGATGACCAGATTGACTTGTATCGCAAACATCAACAACAAAGATTCTACCAGTCCAAGGCTCAGGGAAAAACTGTTATCATTGGCGACTCAATGATCAAGGATCTAAAGCCTAACAAGATGTCTAAGAACAGGAGTGTGAGATGTTTCACACATCGTGGTGCCCGTATTGAGCAGTTGCATTCCCCGGCCCGCAGAATTGTTTCAACTGAGGACCCACGTACTGTAATCATACATGCCGGTACCAATAACAGCAAGGATTCAGTTCAGGCGGTCATCGACAAAACTCGCGACTTGACAACAACTATCAGGGAGTCTGGTGCACGGATCGCAGTATCAGGAGTCATCTCCCGGGCAGATACGGATCCAGAACGGACACACCTGATCAACCTTGGTCTCGCAGAGATGTGTACGTCTAATGGCATGACTTTTATTGATAACAGCAACATCGGACCACTCTATGTATGCCGAGACGGAGTACACCTAAACGGACATGGAACCGTCCAACTGGCTACGAACTTTATCAGGTTTATCAGGGGCGAGAAGCAGTCAAGGGTCCGTGTCGGTACGTCCTACTCCGATGCCGTGAGGTCTGCAACAACAACGGCGGGTTTTCAAGGTCGCGGTGCTCCCAACAGCAGGTGGAAGTTCCGGACGGCGGAGCAGACAAGGCTGTTAAGGTTGGCAGAGAGACTGTAACTCAGGCTAACATTTTGCCACCACAGCGTAGAACACTTCCATCACTCTTACTTAGTAATGCCCGATCACTGATTAATAAATTGGACGACCTGTCTGATATGCTGAACAATAATAAGATAGACATAGCCGTTATCACGGAAACCTGGTTCACTCACGAGCACCCGTCTGAGTGTATAGATGTTAGTGGTTTTAATTTGTTTTCTCGTTGTCGAAATGAAGGCCGCGGTGGAGGTGTGGCAATTTATGTTAAAGATCATATATCTGCGGAGACTCTAAATTTTATTGAAGTACCCACAGAACTTGAGTGTCTGTGGGTACTACTCAAACCTAATTGGTCGCCTCGTTCGATTTCTAATATTGCCATTTGTGCTGTCTATCACCCTCCAGCGTCTTCATACCAGGAATTGCTCTGCAAACATCTCATAGACAGCGTTGATAAGATAAACACCAAGTATCCACTTGCTGGGATTTGTGTTTTAGGGGATTTTAATAGATGCGATGTTACTAATGTTATACATGGAGCCCAGCTGAAACAACTTGTTAAACAGCCCACCAGGGGAGATGCCATTCTTGATTTAATCATTACTAATTTGTATCCCTTTTATCACCCTCCTCGTATCGAAGAGCCCTTGGGAATGAGTGACCACAACACGGTTATATGGTCTCCCTGTGATCATATACCTGTTAATTCTAAAATAAGAACACAATTTCGTTCCTTTAAAGACTCTGAAGTGCGCTCTTTCGGTCGGTGGATTTCCTCGCACCCCTGGACAGAAGTTTTTGATGCCCCTGATATTCAAACAAAAGTAGATATATTGTATCAAACCCTTCATTCAGAAATAGATCAACATTTTCCAATGAAATCCTTTGTGAAACACAAATCTGACAAAGAATGGATTACTCCCCAAATTAAAGCTGTTATCAAGAAGCGACAGCGGGCTTTTCACTCTGGAAATATGCCATTGTATAGAAAGCTTAGAAACAATGTGAATCGCTTGTGTGTGAAGGCAAAGAAAAGACATTATTTGCGTAAGATTCAGGTGCTTAAGAAGGAGAACCCAGCTAAGTGGCACATGCATCTACGAAATATACTAAATTTTCGGCGTAGCTTATCAGTTTCCGTCCCCAGCGCTACGTCCTTAACGGACAAGGAGATTGCTGATGTGATCAACCGTCACTTTTCAGACATCGTTAACCAACTTCCATGTTTAGATCCTGAATCATTGCCATCTTACTTACCTTCTCCTTCCAGACCACCACAAGTACATTCCTGGGAGGTCTACGAAATTTTAAAACGCATTGATGCAAGAAAAAGCTGTGGTCCCGATAATCTGTCCCCCAAGATTGTCAAAACCTTTAGCCGTTGAATTGAGTGATATATTGGCACATATTTTCAACTGTTCTTTGGATGAGGGACGAATACCCAAACAGTGGAAAGGAGCCATAATTTCACCCATTCCAAAGAAAAGCCCTGCAACAGTTGAAAATCTGCGTCCCATATCACTCACTTCTATCTTGATAAAAACGTTTGAATCTTTTATCACAAAATGGATCCTTCTTGACATAAGCGACGTTCTTGACCCTAACCAATATGGCAGTAGAAGGGGGCGATCATCTGTTCACTACCTCACTAGTTTGGTTGACTCAATACTCCTTGGCGCCGACACCCCTAAAACTATCCAGACTGTCCTGTTAACTGATTTTAGCAAGGCATTTGATAAAATTGATCATACAGTATTAATCCATAAACTGTTAACTTGTGGTGTACGTACTTCTATTGTACCATGGATAAGTGATTTTCTCAGTGAACGTACACAGTGTGTTCGGTACAGAGGCGCAACTTCTGGTTGGGAGAGAATTTCATCAGGAGTTCCTCAGGGAACCAAATTAGGGCCTGTTCTCTTTTTAGTATTTGTAAATGAGGCAATGGAATCTTTTGTGGATAGATGGAAATACGTAGATGATCTGACTTTAAAGGAAAGCAGATTATTAAGTGTACCAACCTCGATGCAAACATCGGTTAATCAACTTGAAATGTGGTCGTCAGAAAATCATATGTCACTAAATGAAGATAAGTGCAAAATAATGAACATCACTTTTATTAACGACCCTCCTCCTCCCCCCGATATCCTTCTTAATGGTAAAGTCCTTGAGCATACAGAAGTGGCATGCATACTTGGACTGTGGTTGACAGCGGATATGAAATGGGATAAGCACGTAGAGGTCATTACGACAAAAGCAAGCTCACGGCTCTACTGGTTAAAGAAATTAAAACGTTTCGGCCTTCCCATCAATGACCTTTGCGAAATCTATTTATTATATATACGACCAACCGTTGAATATGCTGCCCCTGTATGGAATGCCAATATAACACATCAACAATCCGATAAATTAGAACGAATACAGAAACGTGCGCTAAGAATAATTTTAGGCCCTCAATACTCATGTTATGATGAAGCCCTTTCCCAATTTGGCCTCTGTACCTTGAAAACTAGACGAGAATCGCTAAGCCTTAAATTTGCCAAATCTCTGTTGAATTCGCCGACGTTTAGAAACTGGCTGCCCCCGCTACGGAAAGATGTTCACAACAGAAATTTAAAGGGCAATAATCAGCTCTGTATTCCGATGGCAAGATCCAACAGATATAAAAACAGCCCCATTCCATACTTTACTGCACTTCTGAACAACGTCAGGTAACCTATCATGTGTGGTAATTTTTATTATGATTATTGTCTAATTATTTTAATTATTTTGCTATGTATAGTAGTTTCTATAGATTTTATTAAGTGTTTTATTCATTTCTTGTAACTGCCTAATATGCATAATTCAGCGACTTGTACTATGTACAAGTCGCTGCAATGTATTTTAGTGTATTGCTTTCAATTGAAACAATAAACCAACTATAAATATCAAACATAGCACTGTCCATTGTTTTCAAAATATGAATGGTGTCAAACAATACCCTGCGGTAAACTATTTCTTTTATTTTTATGCAATCATAATGATTATGATATTCAAAAGATACAAGCATATGCTACTACAATGAATGTAGTAGTGCTCAGCAATTCAACTTCTATATGTATTATTTTTACTGCAGCTATATAACAGTTACCTTCTTGAATGGCTGCCTGCAGCCATTTCTTGGGTTGCAGCTCCTCCCCTGTGTCTATGGCCAGGGAGTAGGTGGGTTTCAGCTGTAAAGTAAATATAGAACAGAGTTGGTAGCACTGTAAGGTCGCTCAATTAGGCAGAAATGGTTTATGATAGTACCCGAAAAAAAAAAAAGTTAGTTAAACTGGGCCCACCACTTTAAACAGACGACTGCTACGTGTATGCCTGGCTTTAGTAGTGCATAATGTTTAGTGTGTTCAGCTTTAGCAGGGTTTAAGCGACCAACAAAATAGGGAGGAAATGAGGACATCTTCCTGAATCCTGGCATTATAGCTGCATGACAAAAATTCTGTAGAAACGATAATGTCTGTATGGTTGTCCCTTTTTGGCAACAACCAATTCTGTGTCAGAGACACTGCAAGTTTACAGAACACCTTACCTGTTGGGCAATGTCTTCTCTCCCAATCAGCTCCTGGAAAATAGTAAGTTATATTGATCACATGGGGGATAACATCTCAAGCAAGTGAAAGAACCAACCACACATATCGAGAAGAGTAGGGTTCCTTCCTGCTGTGAGTGAAAAGGTGATAGTCACCAGTCTTTTTATGTCAATCTTTCTACAAATGTGGTAAATCTCAATGAAAATAAATAAATATATATATATAGAATTGGTTTATTTGCTTGTATCAACATATTTACAACGTATCTCGCAGCCTTGACATACAGGGCTGAATTCTGATCAAGTTGTTTACAATATAAGTTATTAATAGTAGGGAAATACAAATTGAAATCATATCGGAATCTACATATTAATATATCACTTTGGTACTGGTATTTACAATCTTACAATCGCACAAACTATGTATCACTTAAATTTTAACATATTAGTCGTAATAAATAAATAAATAAATCATATAAATAATAAATGAAGAAAAACGTACGGTGAGTCCTGCGAGTGCCTTCATCTTCTCCTGCAGTTGATGGTTGACCTCGCGATCCCTGTTGGTCATCTCCTCTGTACAAACAACGGTGGGGTCAGTTAAGGACAGGGCAAAAGAGATTCACATGGCTACCTGAAGTTACTGCATTTTACTTTTATTTCACTTTGCAGTAGGAGGGAAAAGATGTCTTCACAGTGCTTGCTGTCAAAACAAAGAAGTACAATGTAGTACAGTGGTCATGCACAGTAAATGCTTACTTGTGGTGTCATGAATTCTCATGGAGAGGTTACAAAAAAAAAAAACGCCATAAAAATTTGATGGTTTACAGTATAAATTCATCAAATGAAGTGACCTACCTATGAGCTGGTTCATCTTGGCTGTCCTGGCTTCTGTGATTTTTCTTTCCTCCTCTGTTTCACTCTTCATTCCTTCATCTACAGGGATCAGAGACAACAACTCCATCAGTTACATTGTATTACAGACATGACTCAGTCAGCCGCGCCGCATGCCTGCGAAGCTGGTGTGTTATGCCGAAAGGCGGTTATACCGGCTATACAGATACAGAAGCTGGCGTGTTACGCTGAAGGATGGTTTTATCGGCTATACAGATACAGATACAGATATTCCTCAATTCAAGTATCCTATTTAGATGTAACAATGCGCTGCTTTCAGCTGAAATTTTGCTATTGCCATCGTTTTTGCTATCTATACTTTTTTTTTATTGGACCGCATACATTTCAAACAATGTTATTTCTTGTGTTCTCTACCACGATCAGGGTCTAGTTAGCAATCAGGGTCTAGTTAGCAATGAACACAACTTTAAATCATACATGCTAATGCAGACTACATAGTAGTACAGACTACAGTAGTACAGACAGAGAGAGATGATTTAAAATTTTTTTCACCTTCTTCCTCAGGACAGTTGTTGACTGCCTCCCTGACAATTTTCATCCACGTTTCCCGCTCCTTCCCGTCCACACACATGATCTCGTACATCTCTACTGTGTTAGCCGAGATCAGGAACAGACTGCGCTCCTCGTTCGCTACTTCTCGCACCAGCAACTTAAAGAGCGGAATAACAGCAGACTGCAAGAAACATGGGAATATTGTTACTGAAACTTGCAAGGAAGTAAAAGAGCCTGGGCTAAATACGTGTACTATGTATTTATTATATATATTATTATTATTGTCTATCTAACCGATGAACAAAAACCGTATCTTGCTGCTAAGGTCAAAGTTTTGTTGATATGTCTAGTTTCTGAAATCAGAATCTCTGAAACAGCAATGCACTGTCAAGACCTTTGCTGCATTGTGTTAGCTTCACTCTAGAATACAACGGTTACTGTAAGAGGGAGCACAAATGTACATGTACTTTCTAAGTCATCTGGTAGAAGGAAAAATCCTGAAGCCATCCTTACTTTTTGGTCCTGTGAGTAGAAGGAGTATCTCTGGTTGTTCTCATGTAGGAAGAGCAGCATGTCAGATAGCACCACAGCTGTCACCTCTGGAACAAAACATGGGAACAACAGGTTAGTGACTTATGCCTAGTATCCAAAACGACATCGCAACTTCTGCTGACACATACTGACAGTGTGTCCAACAACTTGTGTCAAAATACATGTACTACAAGTCATAGTATTACAAACAAACTTGATCAGATTTATTATGTTACAGGTTTGTGATTTTGTGACCACATCACTCTTCCACTGTTCAGACCCCTAAAAGCATGATGGCCAACATGGGAACATCCAAACATCCCAAACCTGTTGACTCAAGAATATTTCTGCTGCCATATTATACTGATAGTGAGTTCAAGGACTTGGTGTGTCAACATCCATAAAGGTAAAAAAGTTGTTCACAGGAATTTTAGCATTACCTTTGACAGTTCCTCTAGCATTTTTCCAGCCAACGACTCCTTCATGGATCAGCTTACGGTGGTTATGGAGAAGGTCATCTCTCTGTGGAAAACAAAAAACTCTGGAGTGAGAAAACACCAACAGAGAGGACAACAGACGGATGGACAGGCAGATAGACAATCCAAAACAGATGTGTTAAGTTAAGAACAGTACTTGTTACGTCGATGAAGGTTAGACATCCAGGTAATACGATACGCCAAAAAGCAGTTACTCAAGCAACTGGATACTAGCTGAAACGTCTGACGTTTCCAAAATCATATCCAGTTGCTTGAATAACTGCTTTTTGGCGTAAGTTAAGAACAGTACTTGACTTGTTGTCTGCAACAGCCAACTATGAATTTTGACAAATCCATCATGAGAAAGGCATACTCTTCTTACATGCAGTCTGAGAAGCAAACGGGAGCTAGAATAAGATATATAGATTCCAGACTTCCAACAGGTTGCTGGAAAAAGCAGTCAGGACATGTCGTAACACATCAGACTGCTTGCACTTTAATCGTATTTCGCAAGGGGGCACTACTACACATAGAAACGACTGGATTGCTTTTTCCGTCGGTCAAACTGGACTGCTTTTCCACAAACCCAACTTCCAACACAGTGCAGACCCTGGTTGGGGAGTGGTCTGGAGTACTGTTGTGAGAAGGTCAGGGGCTTAAGCTTCAGAACCAATTGTACAATTAGTAAATTTATGTTTACACAGTCAGAAAATCTTAGCTTTACCCTGAACTTCCTGCCATTCTTGAAGGTTGCATGGCCCTTCTCCAGCCTGTTGTAGATCTCTAGTAGCTTCTGCTGCCTGTTGTAGTCGTCTACCATCTCATCTACTCTGTTCAACAGGTCCTGTGGCAGGGGAGAAAATGATAATGAACCAGCTTGGCTTATTAAAGAGCTATTCTTCAATGGATGTGACAGAGGAGACAGATGGTCTGTACAGTATTTACAGGTTCGTTGTACTTTGATAATTCCGCTTGCTAGCTCCATTTAAGTGCAATGAATGGTGGTCCAAAGCTCATGTCCCATCCTGGGACTGTGACCCTTTCCAGTAGCATGCATGTTCGGGGAGCAGAAACAGCCAGGATTTGACCTCCCAAATTCTTGGTCCAGGGGCAAACACTGGTCTACATGCACTCTTTAATGTGATGTGATGCAAATACCAAAAGATCCTTACCACAACTAGTTGTCTTGACTGTTTTAGAGGTTCATGGTCAGCTTTAGATTCTGAAAAGTAGAAGATACAATTATGTAAGTGTTACAGTTGTAAAATTACACACAGTTAAATGTAACTATTATCTTTTTTAAACACCTTAATCCTGGGTTGATAACTCTGGTACTTAAAGGCATGATTGTTTATTGTTCTTTTCTGACCTGGTATCAGATACTTAATAGCTGGTACGTCCACCAGTTTATTAGTCACCTTGTATATTATACATACATGTAGCCTGGACATTTTCCTTCTGTCTTCTAGTGACACCCACTGTAGGCTTGTTTTTATCTTCGTGACACTAGCACTCCTTGTACAGTATCGTGCAGTTTCTGTACCCTTTACGGTTTATGTAAACTTTGTTTCTTTGTACATGGATCCCATACTATAACAGTTACTTCATGCATATTTTGGACATTTTTTTTCTGCCAGACCTTTGGTTCTCTTTATGATGGCATCGATGAGGAGTGGGTACTGGGTGATGCGCTGGGACACCAGGCGGATGTGCTCAGGAACACCAAACCTTCTGCACAGGGGGATGTGGCTACACTTCTACAGAAACAAGGCAAACAACAACAGGAAACATCAGTTAGATGTCCAGGTAGAACATATTATTAAGTTAATGCAATATAAGTTATACAACTGTGTAAATTCTGTAAAGAACATAACTTAATGCAAAATAAGTTCCGCAACTGCAGGAATTCTCGAAAGAGTCAGACATTTCTGATAACATTTTTTTTGCTGAGATGAGTCTAAAAACAAGTGTAACCAGTCACTGATAAAAGATTGTGGATGATATTGGAAACATCTGACTCTTTTCTTTAATATCCAGTCGCTTAAAAAAAACTCAACAGACAAACATGACAACGCAAAACATTGGTAAGCAAAGGAACTTTATGGAATGTTTTCTGAGCCGACCTTGATAAAGTTCTGGAACTTCCTGTCCCTGGTGTACCACTCCTTGTACAGGTTGATGGCGTCAGCCTGCTTACTGCACAGCTCACCGTACGCCTCTGTCATACGCTCACCTATCTCATCCTGGAACTGGAACACACAGGAACTAGGTTAATAACATATGTGCTTGATGCAACAGTGACAAGAAGACTTCCTGATGCTACAATGTAGGTTAGCCTTCTTAAGCTTAGATAACATTTCCAAACCGGGCCCAGGGGGACTGTTTGTGCACACAAAAAATTAACAAATTTCATAGTCTAACATATTGTACTCATGATTATTTTCTTTCAACTTTTTTTTATTTGTTGTCTTTTACATCATACTTTTCATTCCAGGGCCCCTGACTGGGAATTGTGACCTCCACACTAGCAAGCTCTATTTGCCTGGGTTTTCTTTTGCTTATAGTGTGCAGCTGTTTCCTGGTTGTTTATCAGTTCTGGTTGCACCTGTAAGAGATATTTGACTTACAACAACCAGCAACAACAAGAGTGAGTCTTAAGACTCCATGTGAGTGGAGTTGCTAAAAATCTTTGCACCGCACCTGTTGGCAAATGACGTCTCCGACCTTCTCCACGACAGGTGTCTGCTCCTTGTGCCTGTCCTGAAGGTTCTGTTTGAAGGTCGTGTGAAGGTCAATGATGTCGTCCAGGGCTGGGAAGATCTGGTCAACCACCGTAGGCTCCATATGCAGCTCATACAGCATGCCATGGGCAAATATCTGTGAAAAAATAACAGCATCTGTCTTAGCTTTGTTTCTGAAGAATCATAAGAAATTACAAAAATTTGAAATTCACTGAAAATATACAAAAATTACTTGAGAATTTATGGTACTTACTCTCTGCATGATTTTCAGCGTTTTAAAATGTTGCATTTCTGTGCGCATAAATTCTGAAAGAAGAAAGTTAACATGTATTAAACATTCTCTGTAACTACATGTATAAATCTACCATGTTGAACAGAAAATTTCTGAAAGGATGTAATATACATTTTACACTGTTTAACGATTGACTTCCCAGTTAACATCAGTTATCAAAAACAAAGAAAGTACATTATGTATACTCACCATAGATGGCATTTTGTCTCTTGATGTCTCTGTCGGACAACTTGAGTTTCTTTAATGTCTGTAAAAAGAAATCATATTATTATTCATGTATTTTTCATGTTAAGTACAATAAATGTTTTCAGTAATATGGCAATACTGTGTTATTCAGCTGTAGACTAAATGTCACAGTACCTTGTTATCAATAGTTTCCCTCCATGTCTGTGGTTCCATCCCCTTAAACAGGAGGTCAGCGTCCTCTTGTAGATCATCCACACCAGCTGCACCTTAAAAACAACAAACTATATATCAGCATTTCATTTACACAAATATATTATCCAACAGTAAATACTTCAGAAGCACTGCAACAATCCGTTCACATCTTCTTGAGTTAGGTTGACCACAAATATGTGGAGACACAGACACACTCAAAACAATACCAGTGCTGGTTATGCAACAGTTCTAACAATTGTGCTGGCACAGAACTATAGCTTAGTGCCTTTGATCGCAGTTTGTTTCGAAGATAATCCCTAAATGCTCACAACCCCCAAGGTAGCAACTTCAAGGGTAAGGTTGTAAAAGTACGTAAGGCATTGTAAAAGCACAGATGTCTAAATTGGTGTTTTAGTCTCTCTGTTAGCTGTCTGGTGGCCACTACTCTTCCAGGAGACAAGATGCATACATACTGTACAATACATACATCAGATAAATTACAATCAGCATACATCATTCTGATTATCTTATAAAATGACCTCAACTAATAAAACTTTGCAGGCCTACAGAATTCTAATTTGATACTTCAAACTTCACGCAATCAGACTTAGACATGACATGTAGCAAATGCTAACAGCTAGCATGGTACACCCTTTCAACCCAGCCAGGCCTCACAGACCAAGTGCTATGCCCCATGCCATTACTGCAAAGCAGACAATTACTGTCTGCAGAAAGCTCTCACCTTCATCTAATGACTCCATGGACTCGGAAATGGTGGCGTGGATGCTGAAGAGGAAACAAACAACACAAATTATTAGAAGAATGAAAGTTTATCTGTGTTGAGCTAAAAAATTAATTCTATCCAACCCCAAACATTAGTCGGTGCATCTACTTTTACGATACTGACTGCATCACCTTTGTTGTATTTAGATTGACATTTTAGCTTGCATTATAAATGGATAGGTTTCAGCTGCATTATAAAGTAACAAAGATATGTACATAGTTTGCGTGGAACCTCTCTACCACAAAATCATGACACCATGAATATGTGTTGTATAACAAGAATTGTACGACAGACTTGTTTCAACTGTAAACTTAAAACACTGCAAAAACACCCTTTTCTTGGAATTCATTTGCACCACAGACAGCACTACATGTACATGTACCTACCACACGTTTATACATGTTGCACATGCATCAGCTTCAAAGCACTGTGACATTCAGAGTAGTACTAAAGATCTTTGACTCTGTGTGTTGCCGGAAAGGTTAGTACCACAGAGAGACTCACTTTGTGATGGAGCCTCCATGGCTGGCTGGTCTCCCCAGTCTGCTGCCTGCCATGTCTGTGTCCTGGTCTTCCTCACTGATGGGCTTACTGTGCAGGAAATAGTAGCAGGGAACGTTTAATGTAACACCATGAGTGATGGGCTTACTGTGCAAAAAACATCAACGCATTTAATGCAACGCCAAGTGTAAATTGGGCTTGCAGTACAGAGAAAGGTAGTGAGGGCTGTTACAGATAATAATTTTATCAAGGTGATGTGCAGAAAATAGTTGCAGGGAACATTCAACATAACATCACGGGTGATTGGCTTACTGTGCAGGAAATAGTAGCAGGGAACGTTTAACGTAACATTAAGGGTGATGGGCTGGTACAGACAAAGGTAGTGAAGACAGCATTATAAACAATTTTTGATTCAAGGTACATGTGACTATTTAACATAACATCATGGGTGATGGGCTTACTGTACAGAAAAAGGTAGTGGGGATCGCTAAACACATTCAAAACCAAGGCACACGTGACTGTTTAGCATGAGACACCAAGGGTGATGGGCTTACTGTACAGACAAGAGGAGTTGAGAACATTTCGTTCTACATAAATGCACATGTGGGGACTGTTTCTTTGCATAACGTCATGGGTGATGGGTTTGCTGTACAGAAAAAGGTAGTGTGGGCTGTTTAACATCATAAACATGAAGGCACATGTGACCAATTAACACAACATCAAGGGTGATGGGCTTACTGTACAGACAAGAGGAGTGGGGACTGTTTAATACAGCATCTATACAAGTGTGTTTAACATGGCATCAAGGCACACATTACAGTGGCAGCAGTTGGGACCATTTAATGCACACGTGACTGCCACACCAGTGGGGACCGTTTCAGACAACATTAAAGGTGACGGCCTGTTGTACAGACAAGAGTAGTGGGGATCATTTAACACATCAAGGCACACGTGACAGGGGAACAGACAGGCAGGTCACTGCACTTTCAGCAGTGCCAGCTACAGAGGGGACATACATGTACATGTAGGCCATCTACCAATGGTGTCAAAAATAAAGCAGTTTTAAAACACGTTTAGAGTTAAACCTAAGATCCAACACAAAAAGTTCTCTCACCTAGAGATTTCGACCAGTCACTCTGGTCTTCCTCAGTAGACTGACCCAGTCACCCTTATTACGTGGCTACTGAGGAAGACCAGAGTGACTGGTCGAAAGCTCTAGGTGAGAGAACTTTTTGTGTTCGATCTTAGGTTTTAACTCCAAACACGGAACTACCAACACTGATGAACTTTCATAACAGTTTTAAAACACCTTAACCGATGTTAACCAGCAACGTCAATGAAAGGTCACACACATACATGTATGATCTTACAACCCTACACGTAGGAGTGGCCCCAGGTGAGGTCAGTTGGACTTACTCTATAGAAGGTTTCCAGAACTGAAGGGGCCAGCTGCCATAGCGAGCAGAGGGAGGGCAGCAGGAAAAAGGAACAGCGGCTGGTTAGTCAAAACTACCTACTCCCTTGATACAACGATGAAGGTTAACGTTAGACATCCAGGTAATGAGATACACAAAAACAGTTACTCAAGCAACTTTTTAAAATCTATCCAATTGCTTGAGTAACAGTTTACTTGTATATCTCATTACCTTACAAAAGACATAAAAATTTTTTGGATTATAATATCTAAGAAATTCATGAGCAACTTGCCAAATTTTTGGTTGCTCATCGGATGAATGAAAAAATGTATGAATCCATCCTTCAAATGGTACCAGGTAGAGACAGAGAGAGAGCACCTTACCTGTTTATCGGAGTTTGGAAGGCAGGTTTGGTTGCCATGGTGTTGCCATGGTTATATCCTCTCACCATTCCAGCTGGAACGTTGTGATGACCAGAATACTGGACAGGGGAGAACATGTTTTTTTTTCTTATCAATCATTTATTTGCACAACAAAAGCAATAAGTTAACATAACATAGTGATCAAACTAGAAATGTGACATTTGCATGTTCTACATGTAGCTTTAATCAAACTACTGCTCTGTTTATTGTAACACAAACACATTCATAATTACAGATGATGAGCTGTCCCTCCAACTCTGCCCTTCTACAAAATGAAGCTCAACACCGCAGGGTGTTTGCTTCAACACCAGTTACCATGGAGACAGACTTCTGGTCTAGGTCATTGCCCTTATTTGAAGAGGAAGAAGAAACTATGCAAAAACAATTATACCCTTCATACCTAACATGAAACATAAAAAGGCTGCTAGTTTAATTACTTTTAATGTGGTCAAGTACATGTATGTACTTTTAAGTGATTTTTAAATCTGTCATTGTTGTAAAACACGCAATTCAGCCTGTGGCTGCCATGTGTATGTAACGAATAAACCTTTCATTCATTCATTCATCATCATCAGGAGGAGGGAGTTAACCTTACCCTCTTGTTGCCTGTGATGATCTCTGACCTGGGTCTTTCCCTCCCTCCTGAGTACGGGTACGGAGCTAAACAAACAAACAAACAAACAAACAAACAACAACATTATCATTATGATCACCGTATTCCAGATGCAAAAGTGTTACAATATACATGTGATGCAGCATACATATAATAATGAACATATTGTTTACGAGCTATTTGACTGTCTGCACTGTTATTTATGAATTACCAAGTAGATTGGTCTATACTAGCTTTAAGTAGCCTTTGCAAAGTAGAAAAATATGTGAATAAACATACGGGGTAGTCCTGTATTGCTGGGCTTTGACGGCAAATTTTTCTGCAAGGGAAACATAGAAAACAACATCAGGACCATACATTATAATCATGTTCTACATATTTACAATCACATAATTAATCATATATTATAGTACCCTGTAGCTAATCACTCAGACTGAGGTGTGCTCCTCAGAGATGGCACTGTATAGACCACACTACCAGTCACCTCTGTGTTTTCTGGGTCAAAATAATTTTCCCAAACTCTTTCCTCCTTTTGGCAATTACTTGGAACTATGAGGACTTTTCTAATTAAAGGACCTATTTTTTGTTTAACAACCATTTGGATTGCCCACCCCTCCCTCTCGAGACAATAACAAGTAAACTACTGACGATTTATGCCTTTGTGTCGTTATCTCATAATCTACGTCAACAAGAAGTAGTCGTGATTCCTTAGTACGTACAGGGTGTATTGTTGTGGAGGCTAATACGTAACCACATGTTGCTAAACAATGTACCAGGATTTGGAAGGGAGAAAACACCCAAGTCTGACCTTTTGTTTGGGTTGCATTCCACGCATAGTTTTCACAGATATTAGATAATATGTAACCATTGTAACTTTCCAAACACGCTTAGTGGAAGAGAAAAAAGCCAGACTGTCGCCTGCTCAACAGATCTAATGTTAGTTGTTCTGTATAATTTACAACAGCCCATGACATTATGGTTGGGGTGAATAAGGAAATGGGGTATATTTGAGCCACATGCAAAATACTGTGTGCAACTGAAGGGTCCTGGTTAATATGCAACATACGAGGGACAGGAATTCGCTTCATGCACAGACGAAGGAGCTGGCTTGGAAATTAGTCTGCCTAGTGTACAGGTGCTGTGCCTAAAATTTACACAGTCATATACAAACACTACAAACACTACACACACAAAGCAACATCGTTATTTTGCAAGACCAATCAAGAAGTAAAACATAGGGTAGTTACCCTGGCATGGAATTAATACAAGGTTCTCCAAAGCAGAAAATTACACTCTAGAAAATTAATATAAGACTTTCTGTATATTGTAATTATCTTTCCCACACAATTGGTCTGCACAGCAAGGTATACATAATTATTAACAATAATAACATATGGTATTACTGTAAACAACCTTTGGTCAGAAAAGGCAGGGACCTGCTATTTACCAGGTTAGATAACAGGTCAAATACACAATAATATTTTGTATTTGTACAAATATACACAACAATGGACTCTATAGGCAGAAATCGTACCTGTTTAGGACATTCTGAACTCTGACCATATTGTACTGCCCTGACCTCAGCTGGTGCAGGTGTTGTGTTTACTTTTCATAAACCTCATGACAACTCATACTTTCAGTTCTTCACGGTTCTCCTGTCATCATTTAGTTCCTACAATTTTACTACTTTTTCCTGTAGGTCTCTAAGAAATGTACATACTATAGGCAGACACTGTTCCTTGTAAGGGTGACCCACGGTTGAGTTCAGGCCAAGGCCACCTGCCACAGCCACCTGCCACACCCTTACTGGCCTTACATAACAATTATTCAGCTGTCAACAACCTTTCTCCCAATTTGTTATCATCAGAAGGACTACGAAGCTCAAATTCACCAGATAATCAAGCGTATTGTTCACCTGAAAATCTACCTTCAATTAAAACATTGACTAGGGCTCAGTGTTACAGTGTGCCCTATGAACATTGGTCACTTCTTAAAAATTGCACAGTGACCAAGAGGACAGTGTCCATAATTCTGAAAATAGAAATTTCCTTTGAGCTTGCTCGGGAAAATTAATTTCCTGGTGTGTGATGTCAGCTCTTTGCCTTCTTTGCTCCTCTAGCCCCCCTCCCCTCCCCATTGTAATATAGAGGATACAGTAACCTGCATACACTACTGCTAGTGTGCCAGCAAAAATGGTCTTATCATGGACTTTGCCTGTGATATCACAATACTTCCGGTTTACTGAGCCAACATGGTGGAGGCCACTTGGTCTTTAGAGTACAAAATCCAATGTAAACTATCACTGAATGCATTAGATTTACATTTAATTATCCATACCTATTCCAATTACTTGGCCATAAAAGCATTATGCCCTAGTAAAGCTGTGCTGTGCTATCAGGCATCAAAATCATATTACACTTTGGGTTCAACCAAAGACAAATTTCAATTATAACCAGAATGTAAATTCTTTCAAATGACTCGGCTCCACACAGAAATCAATTTGTAGAAAGGCCTGTAACCTTTATTAACATTTCTTTTGGAAAACAGTGTTTTGAGAGCAGCACCCACCCCCACGTACATGTATGTATGCTCAGTTCAGATACACAGGACTACATTATGCTGGGGACGTTGCATTGGAGAATTTTTTCAGGGTGGCATACACATACATGCATGTATACAATGTACATGTGACCTGGCAGAATTACAGTACTGTTACAGTAGTACTTTTGTATATGGGGCCTACCAGCAGGACTTTGAAAACCCTACACCTAGAGAAAGACCCCCCAAAAGGTGGCGGGACCAAATAGTACATGACACTGGATGGTCCCTGAAGCCTGCTGAACAAAAGGCTAAGAAAGAGGAGGTAGGCAGGTAGTAGACAGTACAAAAAATGTAAATGTACATCTACAGCAATAAATCATTTCTTACCTTGCTTTTGCCAGCCTTTGGACAGGGAGGTACAGAGCCTTGGCAGTTGCTCTCGTGAACATTGATGGAACAATCTGAAATCAGGAGCGAAAGTGAACCACCCTGTGAGCCGTGTCACAGCCAGGAAGGGAATACCCATAACGCAGGCATCAAATGGGCACTTCAATGCATAAATTTCACCAACCGAGGCCATCTCAATGCAATTACTTGTACAGTAGTTCTTTCAAAAGAGGACTACAAAGCTTAGTATAGTATATGTACAGTCAAAACTGGTTGGCAAGAAGGAAAAGTTAAAATTAATGCTACATTGTAGTATTATAACTGTATGCACTGCATAAAACTGTACCAAGGCATGCCATAACCTAGTCCTAGGGCTTAGATTTCATCATACTTAAATTTCCAGTTACATTTAAGTATATTTCTTTTTCATCCGAAAACCAATACATTTAATTGGTATAGCCTTCATACTATAGTTTTGAAACACATGAAAGTAAGGGAGAAGTACTGACTCTGACACTGCAGAGCTGGTTTGTTGGCCAAGGTTTTTGCACAGATGTCACAGACTGTGGAGTTGGAGAAACTGATGTTCACAAACTGGTGGGTGCTGGCGGACTCCTTGTCTTTGCCTTTGGACTGTGTGGGGAGGAATGATATACTTGTGACGTTTTCTCTTTATTTCATTGCCACATTTAAAAGATAAAATACAATCATGGTGCTGTCACACTCAAGCCCTTGCTTATATGAATGGCACCACAAAACTATAAATCATGACATACGCCAACATTGTGTAACAGGAACGGGAACGTCTACTGAACAGAAAAAAAAACGAAATCAAGTTAGTCAAACAAAACCAGGAGGTTGGTAGGTGATATGGTGTAGATACATTTTTTGTACTTGTGAGGTTGACAATATTGGAGGGTGCAGAAATGATACACAAACCTGCCTAAAGTCTAGTGATCATCCAGGTAAAAAAATCCAAGAAAAATAAATGAACAGTTCCTCCACACTATTTCAACACTGCGAATCCCATAAACAGTCCCATGGAATCCCTAACCCTCTCCATGCGACCTAACCCCACAAACAATACAAATCTGGTGCCTAACAGCTACCTTAGCAGACTGAAGGTTAAAAACGAGACATGGACAAACCTTTGACTTGTATCTGGCGCTGGAGAAGATGAAGCTGAATCTCCGTCGGACAGACTTCTCCTTGTCCTCTGCCTTCAAAGAAGCCACACCACCTGTGGAACAACAACAATCGGAATGCTTAAAGCATCATTGTTATACTTGCCAATGGATACTTTATCAACTCCATTAGCTTTCACAAAATTCTTCCTGGAGTCTTCAAAAAGAAACAATATACATGTACATGTAGTATAATTGCACACCAAGCTAAACTATGCACCCGCATACATTATGCAGTCATGTATTTGCATAGTTTGCATCATGGCGGACAAATTTAGCAAAAGTTTCATACCTTCAGAAAGTGAAACATACAAGACTTACATGTACCAGCAGACCACACAATGGCATAACTGCACGGCACTAATGAAACCCCTACTGTTATCTTCTGACAAATACTGTCTGTTTACCACATTCCTAAATAACCAGTGATCAAACCAATGAATATGCAAGTTATTGTGCCACAATCTAAACAAAGTATTAACCTTTTCAAAGCTTCCTACTGCAGTTACCAATAGAGAATTGGTAGCCAAAGTGTGCTGAAGATTAGGAAAGTAAGGTGCTACCCTTTATCTCTTAGTTTTTGCCCTGAGTAAGTTTCCTAATGATCTGTGTATTATTTACTTCTAAGTAACCCTCCCCCGATACACAGGTTATTGGAATTTTGTACCATCCTTTAACTATAGCTGCTAATTATAACTTTGACATGTCACTCCTTACCCACTCATTACTCCTACATAACCTTAAACTTTACATGTAAGTTTAACTTGCAATAAAGTCACATTAAGAGTAGTTTAACTTGTAATAATGTCACATTATGACTGTCACAATAGTTTACTGTAAAAATAGTTAAGAAAGTATTTTACTGCGTGGCAACAGATACCTATCTGGTTGTCTGAATATCTCGAATACCGAGAAACTAGATAACACAATACACGAGTGACTGTTCGCAAATTCTTTTCAACTATTACAACAAATGCTAGAAACATTGTCTAGACAGACGACACATTATTTTTGCTGTAGTTTCAAGTTTGTCACGGAGCTCTTTTAGCTAGTTGGTAGACCACGTTACCAAAGAATTATAGCTAATACTAAAGTCAACATCTGACATTTGCGTAGTGGCAGACAAAGAAAAGTTTGTTACCGTCAGAAAGTGACACGTACAAGACTTACCAGCATTACACACAATGGAATAACTAGTATATGGCACTGCATAATAAAACCCACTACTGTTAAGCTGCGAGCCAAAGGCAGACTTGGTCAATGATTAACCAGATTGTTCTCTTCAGAATGGTTTCACGTATGTCAGGTGTAAAATGCTTGTGGTTAACTTACCAGGGACAGGCTTTCCCCCTCTGCCCAACTCTTCGTCACTCTCGAAGTTAGATGGGCTGGAAAGGCATCACATGGCATGTAAGTGGACAGGGAAGGGTGGAGAACTCTGCACTGGTTACAGTGAGTGAACGGTAATATGGAGTCACGGGGAGGAAAGTCCAAACGTTACAGTGGAAGCTGCTGGGGTCATGACCAGTAAACTGTGTTATGGTGACGGAGGCAGTTTATCAGCCACACGAGGTGTGGACTGTGTAAACTGTGCAGATCATTGTTTCTGCTTTCTGTCAACAGAAGTCCAGACTCTGAGGCTGGCGCATGCCATTAACCTTCACTCTGCTACCTAACCCTGTAACCATTACATATTTTGAGCCAAGCAGCTACCTTAGCAGGCTGAAGGTTAATTTGAGTTGTGTTCACATTGAAGAAGGAAAGAAAATGTATAAGGCTTGAAAATCAAAGGAAGGAATATTAAATAAATAACTAAAAGTTTTAGACCTTTGAATAAAAGAAACAGCAAAGTCCGAAAGCAGAATGTGTGGTATGCTTGCTGATATTGACAGCAAATACCACATACTATTAGGATGAAACAGCAATATGTTAGAATCATTCTGCTTAGTCAGATGAGAGTTTAGGACATCGATGGCCAGAAAGAAGTTCAAATTGTGTAACACATTGTCAATGACACTCAATACAAAATAAATACATTACAACCAACTGTGTACTGTATGGTAAACTCAATGTAGAAAGCATAGGAAAAAATGCCATTTCTGTATCCTATTCTCTTATTCTTAGTCAGTCCTCAAGTCAAAAACTTGTTCTGTGCTAAACAACACACCAGTATTAGTACAAGCTATTTCTACATAGCTAAGGTGTCTTTAGTGATATTCACAACTCATTATACTCTAAGCAGTACTTTAATACTTCTTATCACCTTAAGAGTAAACTTGTAAGTACAAGCCTGATTAACATGATTATAGTTCACACATGCAATCAAACAAAAACAAGAACAGCATGTATTGTTTTCAAGACTTTGTTGGTCAGTGTTCCCCTGATTCATGCACCAAGTCTTTGTTCAGGGACATGTATTATGTACACATGTGTATAATAGTCTCCACCAGACTAACAACACTGGCTGAAAAATAGTAAAATCTAGCCAAAGAGGGAGAGTAACTTGCCAGGGGAGTTTGGCCACCTTAGGGTAACGTTTGCCAATACAATTCCAAGAGGAAATGAAAAACCTACAGTAGGCTCACTCCCCTGGCCAATTACTGACCCTATTGTTACCAAATTCTACCATTCATAACTCTTTAGGAAAGCCTGGTGGAGACTCTGTTGTGAACAGGGATGTTAGGCGCTTTCTGACGGACAGGCTATCCCAGCCTCTCCTAACCTGGTCTCATAGAACCCTGAGTCCCTATTGGTGAAAGCGGCGGGCAGGGAACATCTTCGTTTCAGGTGCAGCGGGCGGGCGGGAGGGCTACTGGGCTTTCCCTTGGGAGGCGTGCTTTCCGTGCGACAGAGATCGGACGCAACAAACAGCACAAAAACACAGGAAAAAGGGGCAGAAAAATGAAAAGAAAGACAGGAAGAATAATATGAAATCACAGGAACAATGACAGCTGTAGCAACTCATCAATCAATCAAGCAATCACACACTCAAACAAAAAGAGGGAAAAGACAGACACAAACAAGTCATGAAAGTCTTAAACCATCCATCTAGAGATGCTAAAAACATAACCTCTCACATGAATAATATTGGTTCCATTAAAAATAGAATAATTCCAGTACTGGGCAGCATTTACTAAATGATAAATGAATGCTGCTGACTGATTCTGTCAAAGCTAGCAAAGAAGTAAAAGCAATGTTGTTGTTGTTGTAGGAAGACAGAGGGGCAAAACAGAAGAATTGAGCAAGGAATGTTTGAACAAGCAAGTCATTTGTAAGAGCTCTGCATGTGACACATTCTTGCTGTTATCTGTGCACAATTCTCCTTTTTGCCAAATTTTCTTTAAATTTCAGGCCTAGAATAAACACAGTACAGGATTTCATTATTAAAACCATACATATTTTTCGTAATTGACAGATGTCAAATAATGATGATTGAACAATGTATCATGAATCAAGAAAGAAGTCATTAACTTTATATATAAAATGGAAACTATAAAATGGAAATTATTGGGCCAAAAAGCTGATAACATGAAGCCAATGCCAACCAGCCCCATCACTTTCACAATAATTTTGCCTTCTTAAAGATTGCAAAGCTAGACAATCGATAATTCAAACTCTATGAGCAGCCCTTCAAGCTGTTACACCACCAGCCGAACCCTAAGATTCCTCTGTGCGTTGCATTAATAACAATAACAGCAAGACGTACACTGGGTTAGCGGTCACAGCACCAACAGACGAGAGACAGAAGCGATGCTTACTCTTTGATTAGCTCAGTGAGGGACACGCGAGCCTTGCGCTTGAAGCTGGACTGGTCCAGCAGACGGTTCAGCTTTTCGTCCTCGTCCTCGCTATCCTCCCCGTCCTCGTCTCCCCCGGACTTCCCTTCCTTCTCCAACCTGGTCGGTGAAAAGTGGAGCGACCGTCAGGGGGTGAACAGGGAGGGCGTACCAACCTCCGACAACTTTTGCCTTCTTTCTTTGCTTCCTAAGTAAGTAAGCTTCCTTCCATTTCAATTTAACCTTTACCTCCCTACTACCTAACCCCGTAAATAATGAAATAATGAATTGGTAGCCAAAGAAAAGTTAAGCGACCATCAGAGGGTGAACAGGGAAGGCGTACCAACCTCCTCCAACTTGAACTTGCTTTCCTTCCATTTCAGTTTAACCTTTACCTTCTTCCTACTACCTAACCTCATATATAATAAAGAATTAGCAGCCAAACAGCTACTTCAGAGAGCTCAAGGATAAAACATTGCAGGCTGTTTTTTCTGACATTTTTTTCCTTTTCTGAACAGCAAACATTACGATCCAAAAACAGACTCCAGTTACTATTACAGTTAGTTGTTATCAAAGTTCCTTCTGCTTAGAGTGCATCTGCAAAGGCCACCGAGTTGGTATGGCATCTGCCTAGACTGTATTTCCACCATGTTGGGCTTTTCGTATTGTACAGTATGTGTACATTTGTTACATCTCAGGGATTTGGAATGACTGTATAAAGCAAGAAACAGCTGAAGGTATAATCAGCAGAAATAAGACTTGCACAGAAACAGGCATGCATGAAGGCGTAGGGAAAAGATGTATTTTCCTGTCTTTGATTATTAATGTAAGTTACTCTTGAAATGTTTGCAGTGGTTTTATTTTCACTGTTTTCAATTTTTTTTTTTACTGTGCAAGAAAATTGTCTCAATTTCCTTTCCCTCCCACTGTAAAATAAAACCACTGTGAAAGACACCGCAGCACCCTGCCATTTCCATAAGGAGTTGCCTAGGCTGACATGTACCTACATGTACCTTAGCACACTTAGTATAGTATCTATAACAAGTATCCCACAGCCCAACATACAAATGTACATGTAGAAAGGATCCACTCACTACATCCATGCATGCAGAATGAAGCTCTGAGAGACATACATGATTGTACATTGTGTAGAGATCACAGTGCAAATCAAGTTCTGATAATCAGGTATCAATTCTTTAGATCCGACACATGCAGGGGTCTGTTAGGGTTCTCCAGGCTACCTACAGGGTTAGCAGGAGGGATAGTGAAAACCCAAGAGAAACCAAGAAACACTGAGGCGGCTACATACTCAAATTCCTGCAAAAACTCCTGCAGTGTTAGCGAGCGCTTCTCCTCTACGATCGGCCTACAAGTGAACCAAAACAAACATTTGCTGAACAAGGCTGGAACCATCGGATCCGTAAAAAAAAAACCGTAAAAAAAAGGGTGTACTATGGTCCACTTTACATGCTTCCAAAAACACACATATTTTCAAAACAGTTCCAAAAATTGTTCTCATTGCATTTTTTTAGGTGTTTTTGAAAGTCTGCTTAAAGCGGGCCATAAGCATTTCTCTTAGGTACAGTTATGTGTGGTGCTTTTGAAAGTTTGATAATATTTAGGTACGTTGCTTGATTTGGTATCTCCAAATCCCTGTTCAGCAAAAACCACCAGGAAGTCGTTAATTAATAGAAGCCAACACAGAGCAGCGCAACACACTAACACAGGTCTACTCATACACATATAATGCACATACATGTGAGAACATGGCTGTACATGTGTGTGTGTACATGCAACTGAAGAGGGAAGACAGCACAGTACATGCCACATACGTAAGTAAGCAAGGAAAACATAACTTTCCAAAATGTGCAAAGCCTGGAACTGGAGAAGGGCTATTGTTATCTATCCGGTCAATGGAAAAATCAGGGTCTTGGATATAGACTGACAAGTTAAAGATAAATTCTTAAAAGTTTTGAGTCTTGTGTGGTAAAACTATCATGTACATGGACAACTGAATTTCTGTCAAGTTCAGTGGAGTAGCACCATGGGAGAGGGGGTTGGGGGGGATGCTGTTCCCAACAGATGACTAATATACAGTTGTACATAGCTGTACCAGCCAGCCTGGGTATAGAAGCCTACCGTGTGAACGGGTGCTGTGGTCTCTGATGCATCACTGGAGGCACTTCTGGCTTCTTAACTGCAGGGAGAAAAAGGTAGTCTGTATCAACCTTTATTCTGCATATTAACATGTCCAGAACAGAAGATACTGAAAAAGGAAATTCTGATACAGAACATGCTGTCGCACTGCATCAATCAAGGTAATGGTGTGATGGATTTTCAGCACCAAGGGCAGAGGTAGTATTTACTATCCTATCTCTGCCCTTGGTGCTGAAAAGCCATCACACCATTACCTTGATGCTCTACACTACTGTATGCTACATAAACTTATGAAGTAAGCCTTTAGAATGATTCCTCTGAAACTGTACTTCTTATCTGTATCTGTATATCTGCCCTTCTGCGTTACACACAAGCTTCTGTATCTGTATCAGTATAGCCGGTATAACCAGCTTCACAGATACGCAGCAAGGCAACAGCTGACTTTATTAGACCTAACGACCTGTTACACCCAACCTTTACAACAATTGCAAGCATTGTTTAAAACAGATTGTTACGTGATGTAAACTCACACTCTGGCTGGTCGTCAGCGTACGCGTGCTGCAGGGCTGATGTGGAGACGGCCTTGGTGAGACCGGGCGCACCCAGCATCTCCTTCTCCAGCTGAACAGGAGACATGCTCATGCTACGCTTCTTCTGGGTCTCATCCTCATCAAGCTCCTTAAAGGAAAAAACAAAAAAAAAGGTCACATGTTACAACATGGCAATCAGAAATTTATGGCAGATTTTACAGTAACTCCCATGCTCATGCTACGCTTCTTCTGCGTCTCATCCTCATCAAGCTCCTGAAGGTAATAAAACAAGTCAAGTTTAAAGATAGAAGTCAAGTGGCGATGAACAGACTTTATTCCATAATTCCAGCGACGTGAATGAAATACATTCACACACAAGAAACATACACATACAAAACACAGTCACTTACAGAGTATTACATGTACATGAAGTTTTACATCTACATTGTAGACAAACCCAAAACAATATTTTACTCCCTTTTGGTACATGAGATACTGTACATCACCATTAGCTATAATAATATGCAGTAAATTTCCCAGCTTGATAACATATGTTCCATTATTCTCTGCCTTGCATATACCTGTATTCCGATGCAATTATAGATTGCACAACTGGAGACATACACTATATGTGAGCACGAAAGTATGGTACATAGTTATGGCTCATTCTCAACACTTCCCCCACGGCCATCACTTTTTCTTTTTCCTTTATTTTTGGCACCTTGTACAGAATTTTTCACTTTGTTATGAGCACTTCCACCACCGGCCGTACTTAGCCGTGCACCAAGATCTCCCCTGGACGTTATACCCAAAAGGTTTTTGTGACAGTAGTAATAAGATTAAGAAGAGAACAGCTGACTCACCACGATGGCCTCCTTGATGTCGATGCCGAGGTCTCCCAGTGAGCCTGCTGAGCTGGACTTGACGTGGTGGGGGGAGGGGTGGTGCTGGGGGGACACTGTGCTGGTGGATGTACTGCTACCTGTGGGGGCAAAATAGTCAATCATCAATGTGTATTGATCAACATGTCAGATAATGCCTGGATTAAAAAATTTACTACAATTGCACAATATTATGTTTAAACAATGTTAAGTACCCATGAGATCTATCATGAGCTAATGAAGAGATCCAAATATTAAGATATTAAACAGACAAGAAACCTGTAGAAGTATCCTGTATGCCTCTTTCAGTTATTTAGTGTTGCACAGCTATTCAGTCACAACAAAAAACTGGTGACATAGCCATAAATTCTTTATAATTTCTTTTAGCTACAGTAACTGTCAAATTTTATTTTCGCAGAGACCCCTTCACTCCAAAATCACGACACCACGACTATGTTCCCATTGTACTACAAAGTAACCCTCCCTGACCTGTCTCAGTTGGTGTCTCGCTCCCACTGATGTCTGACCCCGGGGAGGCGACTGCGGCGTCCCCACCCTCCCCGTCCTCCCCCTGGGGTGAGGGGGCCAGTGGGGAGGGTGTCCTGGTGGTGTCGTAGCCGGCGGAGACCGGCAGGTTGGGGGAGATGACCTCCTTCGCATCGTGGAACTCCTCATCACTGTCCACGTTATCTCCTGCCTCCAGGTGGTTCATGCTGTGGCTGGAGTGTGATATATCAATTAATCAGTCAATCAATTAATCAGTCAATTGATCAATTAATCAGTCAATTGATCAATCAATCAATCAGTCAGTCAAACGATCAATGCCTGTTATCAACATGACAGAGTTCTTTCCTTCTTTTGTCATCCTTAACTGAAAAAAAGAATCTGAGAGTGTCCAGCCTGTCATTGAGCTGAAATGATCCATTATGTTTTTCCTGTAAATACTTATCTGAAGGTCCTTATGTGATATTATATATTATGAAGATGTCAGACTTCACTCAGTTGTACTGAATAGCTCATGAGTGAGCTATACAGACTCACACAGAAAAATACTGTAGTAGTATCCAGTCTTTGATTATAGTGTTGCAGGGATCCCCAACACAGGGGTAGGCAGCAGTCTGCTAGTCATAAATAACTCATGAACAATACTTCACTACCTTGGGGATGAAGAAAATTATCATTTTATAACACTTCACCCACTTCAAAATCGCATGTTATTGCCTACAATAAGCAGCCCTGTGAACACGATCCTGTGACGCTACCTTTTCAGCATGGTGGCCATCTTGTCCTCATCTGACATCTGGATGGGGCTGATGGGTCCCCAGCTGTGTCTGCGTGGAGACTGGGACGGTCGGGAGGCTGGGACCACGTCCCCTCCCTCCTCCTCCTCCTCCCCCTCCCCTCCCTCCTCCTCCCCGCCGCCTCGCTCGTCTCTCGGAGACGTCGGCACGACGACGGCGTCCAGCTGGATGGTCTCGATGTCGTACTCCTCGTCTTCCGAGTCCTTGTCGGCAGAGATGTCGTCCACATTGGTGCTGTCCTCTGTAACCCCATCAATGGTCATCTTACCGTCTTCTTCAACCTGGTAGAAAGGCAATGGTTTGTTTAGAAGCCCCATTAGTAAAATTCATCATACTACTAAGCTTCCTGTAGTCCTTTTTTTTCCTGTCTACAAACATAATATGATACAGTTACATTGATGAAGTTCAACCATCCAGGTATTGAGATACACAAGAAATCTGTTACACCCTCAATGGACATCTTCCCATCCTCTTCAACCTGAGAGGAAGGCAATGGTTTGTTTAGAAGTTCCATTAGTAAAATGTATCATGAATGGTTTTGATGTAGTACTCCTTGTCAGCTGTGATGTCGTCCACATTGGTGCTGTCCTTAGTCACTCCCTCGATGGTCATCTTACCGTCTTCTTCAACCTGAGAGGATGGTTTATTTAATATGTGTTAAAGAATCATCATGTATGTACTATATACAAACATAAATACAACACACAAGGGAAATTCTTGCTCAAGTACTACGTTTCAAGTAGCAGCCACTACTTTTTGTCACTGGTGAAAATCAGTGGATGCTACAAAATGTACTTGAGAAGTCTTGACAGTTGCTTGAGTAAGGATTTCCTTGTGTATCTTTCATGCCTAACCTTCATGTTTTGTGGCAAGGAAATAAAATGTCTTTCCCAACAGCACAAAATCGTGTCCTGTAAGTAATTCAAACCCAGAGCCGCCACCCTAAGCACAAGACAAAATTTGTACACGGCATAGAGGGGAAGTTTATGACTGTTCGATTGGAATCACAGTGGAAACTTCTTACCCATCCCAGTATCTCCCTGTCCCTCTCCTCCTCTATTCTGAGGTCAGCGAGCAGCTCCTGTGACCCGACCCGAGGGAACATGTCTGTGTCCACCCCCGAGGTCTCCTCTGGTCTCTCTGTCACAGGGAACATGGAGGATTCACTGGTGCACCGCGGAGAGTCTGGGGCAGGGGGGAATGTAACTGTCACAATTGTGGACAGGAGGAGGTAGGTTTACAACTTTATTCCAGTTAAAAAGCACACACACACACAAGCACACGCACACACACATACACAAACACACAAACACACTGACAGTCACACACACATGCATTCACACCAACAGACATACACAAACAAACACACTGACACACACACATATTATATTACCAAACACATATCACAAATGACACTTCCAGTACAGTTGTAACACTGAGGTGAATTGAATTTGGGACATAGCGGATACAGCCGATAAGTACGATGGAACCATCAGGTTTACACTGCATTAAAATTTTGATTAAAAAACAAGATTAAGGCTGCCAACCTTTACTGAGTGGCAGCTGTCTGCTGGAAGCTCCCTCATTAAGATCTGGACATGAGCAGCTGAGTCGGGACAGGTTCTCTTTCCGAACCTCCTGAAACAAAAGGTTGATGTATGACTATGAATCATTAAATCAACATTGATGTGGGGTAAGTAGGGCTGTGATAAAACAAATCAAAATCACTCTTTTACAAGTCCTGATAGTTAAAATTGGGAAAACAAAGCATACCTCTACAATAAACTGTCTCTTGTTCATCTCCCGAAGTCTCTGGATCCCTTCATTGATGTTGTGCAGCCGTCTCAAGTTTTCATCTACAGGAAGTACAAGCAGAATACTGTAAATCTTGAAATGTTTGCAATGGTTTTATTATCGCAGTTTTCATGCCAATAAAAAAATTAGGGTGGGCCATCCTAGAGTGTTGTCTAGTTTCCTTCTCAAGAACTTGTGCCACACACCTCTAACTCCAGAGAACTATTCCCAGAACTACAGGAACTCAGATTCTCCATAACCATCAGTTCTGAAGCTTAGGATTCTCTATCATTAAAAAAATCAGTCAACACAGTTTGCAACTACAAGTGCCAAGTGCCATCAGGCGAGACTGACCTAATATCTTGCTGTGCCCGTCCCCGTCCCTCTCAGGAGTGGGTTGGGTGACACTGATGGTGGGGATGCCGGCAGCAGTACCCGCATCATCGGGAACAGGTGCAGGGACTTCAGTAAACGGGTCTGTGTCACTGGCAGACTCCTCCAGGAAGTCTGGTTCACTCTGCTCATCACCTGGAAGAACAGGAGAATCGTCTTAATACAGCTCAGATCTTATCACGATACTAGAAATGCAGTGGTTTTTGCTGTGGAGTGGTTTTCACAGTGCTTGAAGTTTGTTGAAACTCAAAACATGTGAATTTCGTGGTGTTATGATTTCATGGTTAGAGGTCACTGCAGAAAATAAACTGTAATATAATAGAAATGGTTACGATGATTGGTTATTCCCAAATCCCACAAAAAATGCCACACAGGACAAGAGTTAAGGAAATCTCAATACTGTCAAATCAGTGTCAATGTTATTTGGTACAATTGGGGGGAAGGGTGTGTGAATGGTTATCAAGTGTTAGTTAGTTTGTTGGTTAGTTTTACTTCTTGTGCATTGTGAAACAAATTACACAACAAATTTGATAAGATTTTTTTTTACAAAATATCACATTGCACATCATCAAGCAAGCAAACAAAACAGTTACTTTTTTTCAACAAGTGGGGTGAACAATTAGTTCCACAGAATTCCAAAAAGTGATTGATCTATAAATGAACGCGCAAGTGGGTGGATTAGTGTATTGCCTTGGCTTTCGAATTTAAACTTTTACTTTCCTTCAAATTGATGAATTGATGGGGTGTATTTGGTGAGTAAGTGAGTGATGGTAAATGATATCAAAAATTTTTAAAAGCTGCAAAGATGATGAACATGATTAGTAGTAACTGCATGTCACGGCTGTTAGGATCTGTTGTTAGTGTTACCTTTACAAAACAGAGAACCATTGGTGTATCTAGTGGCAGGCCCAGACCGAACCAGCACCCTAGTCCAATGTGCTGGAACAAACGAACGAACGGCAGAGGGTTACTGACCGCAACTTCCATCTCAAGCACTTCTTTCTCAAGAATGGAGCCAAGATTGTGAAAGATTCTGGGATCACAACACAAATTTCAGAGTAGTTTCTGTCAGAAGTCATGGTACAATTTTACCCATTCATTGAAGTATGAACGATCGACAATGCCTTGCTTATTTTATTGGTAGATTTAGTGTTTTATCAATTATGTCCAAAACAAATTTATGAACATACTAGTAACACATTTTAATAATTAAGAAATTCCTTCCAATTCTGAAATGTTTCTTTATGAATCATCAGCAATTTTGACAAATAGACAACATGATGTGTATAATTCAGACTTAACAAGTCTGCTGTGTGGTATTTTGAATAGAGATTTCAGAGATTTCATATCAAAGATTTCCTGGTGTTCAGACTTAAGCCCTACAAGGCAGATGGTGACAGAAGAACCTGTTTAGCATACAGACACGGTCACAGGTGCAGCGAAACCCCCTGGGACACCCCACCATTCAAAGCCACTAGCATCAGTAACTCACAGTCTGACAGCCATGGCCACTTTCATGGCTGCAGCTTTTGTAAAACAGGCAGACAATCTAACACGGCAAGCTGTCTCATTCGTATGGAAATATGCTATTCATGTCTCCCCTATCTACTACGTATACAGCTTATTGGGGCACTGGGAATTCATGGTGTAACATTTGACTGATTGAAATTGAGCAGTTGCAGGCCATGTTGCTTTCTTCCTCTGACTATCTGTCATGACTTATATAATATAATTACCCAGCATAAGCCTGAGTAATATTCAATTTGTTTACTCTTGGATATGTTGATTGATTAGGTGTCACTATAATGTCTTTCTTGTAATATGAGATGTTACTGTTAAAATCAAGTATAATATGTCAGTGCCTTATGTTAGAGACTGAATTAGATTGTAGCCTGCATCATGCAATTATTGTATGTTACAAAAGACCTGTAAGTATTTCTTCTTGGTTAAGGACATGATAAACAATATTAAATTGGATCCAAGAAGAATAAGAACATCCCGAAATACATCCAAATTGCTAAACTGCCATAGACCCAATTGATAGTAGGAAAAAAAAAGTTTAACAATAGCTTTGTATATTACTATGTTTGAAAAGCCACCAACTAGGTATGGCGAGTTGTACAAAAAAACACACAAAAAAACAGTTATTAATATTAACTATTAATCTAGCCCAAACTGAAAGAAAAACATATTTTGGACAAAGACAACAAATATGTTTGACTTAGTACCAATCAATAACAGTATCATTGATAGTTGTTGACAAATATAATCAGAAGATGTTATCTATTGGTGTCATAAAGTCTTCAGAGCTCTCCCCAAGCAATGAAGCAAAAGGGCAGCCCCCCCTCTCCCCAAAGTCCTAGCACTGCTCCCAAAATGTTCAGATTTGGGGTTTTCTCTTAGTATTTTCATTAAAATTCGCTATTTTTTTTTTTTGTGACATCAACCGATCAGGGAGCACCTCTCCCCTAAAAATTTCTGGGGAGACCCCTGCAGTCTTTAACCTTCTCCCCAAACCCAATACAAATCCAACACCAAATGGCTACCTCAGCAGGCTGAAGGTTAACTCACCTGTCTCCGCTGCCTCCTGTTCCTCCCAGGAGTCCTGGTCTTCCCGTACCGAGGTCTTCGGACTCTCCAGCTCCGGCTGTCGACACAGGCAATCCGTCAACAACATGGCGGCGACACAACAGTACTGACTTCACCTGCCTTCTCACAGATCCCTGCTCTATAAATCCAGTGTCCTTAGAACTTACAGGCCGTTCATTCGTTGGAATGAAACTGTTCCCAGTTGTAGCAAGCTGTCATCCTCAAATGATGAGGTGAAGCATGATGGTTTTTCAATCAGCAAGTCACGGGTGCAGCACGACTTTGTTACGGTTGTGTTTTCAGCCAACCCTACTCTTCTTGATGCTGGGTTCAAGTGTGATGGGTTCTTTTACGTGCAGCAGGTTGACTCTTCAGGCTAGTCAGTCATCAGTTTCCCCCTAAGAACTTACTCACTGCTCCACAATAACACCCTGGCTCCTCCCTGCCATACAGCTGGGTTTCTAGCTACATGAATGGAGTGCTGGGTAATCAGATTAACCTGGCAGGACACTACAAAGGAATCAATCCAAAACCAAACACAGCTTGATTGTATTTAAAACATGGATCGTCCAATCTCCTTCAGAGGGGTGTGTCATCTTAAACATACATGTGATTATGTCGATATTTCATAAACAGCATAGTTTTGAATGTATCCAAAAAAGGGGAATACCTAATAAACTTCAAATAGCATGGTTATCAAAATTCAACAAACTATTTCTACTGTTTTTTAATGCTATTACAGATACTACTCCCTCCTCTGATGTCCACAGAAATGGTGTGCTCCATTGCACAAAAACCACAACAACAGAGACTTCAATTGGTGATCACGGTTTTCAATAGCCCTTCACACTTTGGGCATGCATATGCAAACAAAAGAGAAAGCCACATAAATATGCAAATGAGTGTTCTAACGCAGCAGATGATGGTGTGACAAATAAAATGAACTCTTCCGATGGTAGGCATAATCCAGGCCAGTTACACAAAAATGAAGTTTACTAAAAAGCTGAGTGTATAATTTGAATACATCAGTATGTGAAAATATCTTCAGATGTCACAACTCTCATAATGCAAGAATAGGTCAATACTTTAAAGATTTCTTTGCTATTAGAAAAGATACTGAAGCCCACAATTAGACCCATGTGATTGCACTGTAAGTTATTACAGATTTACTAATAATTTTAGGCCTTATAGTTTATATTAATATTAGAATTTTGTAATAAATTTTCTGTTTTGCAGTTGATCTTATGACTGTCCCTTTTGGTACTACTTCATTCTATCTAAATCAACAACAAAAGTCCTCATGTCTCTGCTAGTGTCACTGATGAAAAGTAGAGGATGCTACTTCAAATATCTAACAGTTTTCAATATCTATCAAGTTGCTTGAGTAAGTTTTTCTTGGATGTCTAGCCTTTATCAATGTATAGATAGTGCTGCTTTATGTTTTATTGCAGAAGAATATCATTCCAAATTATGGCACAGTCTAGTACTGAGGCCTGTAGTTAGCACCTGACACAAAAATCATTCATTTGTTTGTCAATACAACTAAATCATAAAGGAATAAAAACTTCAAATCAAAGACACGCCTCTAACAAACTATAGTCATTTAAGAAGCATCTAATTGCTAAGTTTTTTTTTTATTTAATAATGGCTAATCAGCTGAACTAAATCAACAATTACATCACAGAGTGATACAAGGATGAGTTCACCTATTGTTCTGCACAGACACAAACATAACAATGGCATGTTTTAACTAACGGATGTAGGTGTCTAATATAGAACTTATTACTATTAGAAGGCATGTAGACTTGTCTAATGCACAATTTTTGTCCTACCTCCGGCATGGGACTCTTCTGTCCTATGAACATGTCCAAGTGCTTCAAGACTGCAATGTCATCATCTGTGGAAGTACATTGAACAAAATGTTTAGAATCGCAGCTCAAACAATGATCATGGCATGACAGCTGTCAGAATGTAGACCTTAGTTAATACTAGGCCTGAGGAGGGTCACATGTATATATTAACATGATCAAATGTAGATCACACACATGTAGATCATGATCAAAAGTGGATCACATGTAGATCATGATCAAAAGTAGATTACAGATCCAAAAGCATCACCAAACTGACTAGAAGATGTCCACAGTATAATTATACATCATGATGTAATTTCCAACAACAGCAAATAGCAGTAAGACGCAGAACAATTTCTGGATCTACATATCCCTACAGTGCTCACCTGTGTAAGAAGCGATGTCTGTATTGACTCAACGATCGTAACGAACAGCAGAACATTACAACAGAACGACACATCTAAAAATTTGATGACATGGATGTTAAGCTAAACAGGACATCACGTAAAAATGTGATGTCAGCCACAACCAGGACATCCATAGGGCCATCAATAATGTACAGGTATAGTGCTTACACATGCATAATACATGAGGCAACAATACTGTAGATCCTGTAACTTTTGCGGTAGTTTCATTTCTGCTATTTTCCAAATGAGTACTACACTGCAAATTCATGAGGTCGCAAAATTGTGTTTCTGATATATTACTAGTGAACTGTGAATTTAAAGTGCTACAAAATCCTGTTCCTTGCTTTGAAGAAATTAAACGACTGCAAAAGTAAATGACTCTACAGTACTGTATCAGCCACCTGCTGGCTAGGAGACAATGATAGAAAAATGGTACAAAACGTCTGAGCAGATCTAAAAGATGTGTTCAAACTGTGGAATGACCTACAATTATACGGAACTTATTAATTATTAGTCATGCCTTCTTCTTTGTTTTAGCACAGGGACATATTATCTTATTACAGCTCCATAGAAATTAGATTGTTGCCAAAATATGATATTAATATGCAAGTAGGTCACGAGATCATAAGGCCATATGAAAAGTATCAATATGTCAACTTAATGCTTAAAAGACACGTTTAGTAATGTTAAGTCGTCCTACTGCATTCATTATGATTCAGGAAGTGAAAGTGATCTCATATCAGATAAGGTACTGTTCCAAGAATCGCAAAGGATATGACAGACACTATATGATTGTACAGCTTTGTACAGGTTCGATGTATGTCATGTATGTTGGGACTCAAACTCATGACCTCTTGGTCCTGTGAGACTGGGCACCCTGGGTGCCAGACTGTTCCCAGGGCCAGTATACAGACTAGCTTATTGGCTCCAGGGCCAACCTGTCCCCAAGGAATTACTATTATGAACACCCCTCAGTTAGATGCTCAGCCCTGACAACAGTCTGACATCCAGGGTATCCTAGACAGGGTCCCTAACCACTGGACTATTGTTAAGTAGAGGAGATTCATTCCTGAAGCTAATCGACAGGGATGACTGTGGTGTGAAAGATATCGGTTAGCATGGGAAATACATCCACTCTATGGCACTGGACTATGCAATGCTAGAGAAAGCTGTGACCTAGCATGCGTGCCCATGCCTCTGTGCTGAGTTGTGTGGAGAGTGCACTAGTCCCGACAATAGCCTGGCATCCAGGCTAGAGACGGGATTCCTACCGATTGCTAGAGAAAGCTATGAGATTGACCCAGCGTTGCTAGAGAAAGCTATGAGACTGACCCAGCGTTGCTAGAGAAAGCTATGAGACTGACCCAGCGTTGCTAGTAGGGAAAGCTATGAGACTGACCCAGCGTTGCTAGTAGGGAAAGCTATGAGACTGACCTAGCGTTGCTAGTAGGGAAAGATATGAGACTGACCCAGCGTTGCTAGAGAAAGCTATGAGACTGACCCAGCGTTGCTAGTAGGGAAAGCTATGAGACTGACCCAGCGTTGCTAGTAGGGAAAGCTATGAGACTGACCCAGCGTTGCTAGTAGGGAAAGCTATGAGACTGACCCAGCATTGCTAGTAGGGAAAGCTATGAGACTGACCTAGCGTTGCTAGTAGGGAAAGCTATGAGACTGATCTAGCGTTGCTAGTAGGGAAAGCTATGAGACTGACCTAGCGGGCGAGCCTCTGCCTCTGTGCTGAGTTGAGTGGAGAGCGTGGCTGAGCCCAGACTGTGGCGCTTTAGCACTGCTGACATCTCTCCCTTCCCAGGGGAGTCCTCCAGCACCTCTCGTGTCTCCCACACCCTGGGGACAGGGCTGGAGCTCAGGTAACCATCAGGACTGGAACAGTGAACAGGAACATCAACAGTGAACATGTGGGAATTACAGCTAGTCATTCACATTAAGTATACAATGAGAACGACCCAGGTTAAACAGCTGTTTGTCTAAGATACAGGGGTGTAGGTGTAGGTGTAGGTAATACCAGTATCAGCACCTCACGTGTCTCCCACACCCTGGGCACCGGGCTGGAGTTCAGGTAACTGTCAGGACTGGAACAGTGAACATGGCAGGAATTAGAGCTGTGTTTAGGTACAAGTATAGGTACAGCAGTGTAGGTGCTGTAGGCCTGGCACTGTATCTGTACCTCACGTGTCTCCCACACCATGGGGACTGGGCTGGAGCTCAGGTAACCATCAGGACTGGAACAGTGAACAGAAACATCAACAGTGAACATGTGGGAATTCCCAATTACAGCTACAGTCGTTCACATTAAGTATACAGTGGGAACGACCCAGGTTTAACAGCTGTTTGTCTAAGAGTAAGATACAGGGGTGTAGGTGTAGGTAGGACCAGTATCAGCACCTCAAGTGTCTCCCACACCCTGTTGATAGGGCTGGAACTCCTACGTAACTATCAGGACTGGAACAGTGAACATGGCAGGAATTAGAGCTGTGTTTAGGTACAAGTATAGGTACAGCAGTGTAGGTGCTGTAGGCCAGGCACTATATCTGTACCTCTCGTGTCTCCCATACCCTGGGGACCAGGCTGGAGCTCAGGTAACCATCAGGACTGGAACAGGAAGGGAAACAGTCAACATTTAGAGCTGTGTTTTATTGTTTCTTTCTTGTGCATGATTGTGTATTTAATCTATTTGACTGTACGAGTTTGGGATACATTTATGCCGCCTTGAATGACGAAATTCTAGCGCTTCCATCAACGTAAACAGCAGCCATCTTGGATCTGTGTCAAGTCTTGACTGTGGTTTCTTGGGTCCAAAACTCCAGAGAGACGCAATTATCAACACTCTCGTTAGAGGGCTCTCCAAAATATGATATAGTATTACTGTCACGACTGTACAACGATAATCAGGTCCAGGTTCCGGTTCGGACCTGAACCAGATCCTCTGAACCTGATCCGGACCTGAACCTGTATTTTCTGAACCGGTACCGATGTCACCCATAGAATATACTTGCTGTGACCTTATCATCTTCACTCATCAGCGTAACTTTCACAACTTTTCTTATTAGGAAACAATTACTCGACTTACTCTGTGAGGAGCGCTGCCACCTCGTCGTGCCCCGCCTTCTTGGCCAGGTTGGACGGCAGGTCGCCATCTTTGTTGGGCAGCTTGATCGCCGCTTCTGCTCCGGGCTTCTCCACGAGGAACGCAGCGAGCCGCCGTAGGCCGAGACGGGCGGCGAAGTGCAGCAATGTCTCCCTGGGCTGGGGGTCTGCAGGGGGAGAAATGGTATTACGGTTAGAGCTGAGGGTCTGGTGAGGGATACCCGGTAAGTGGTTTCACAAGTACAGCAGTGTTTGCCTTTTGCAGCAACGTGTCTCTAGGCTGAGGATCTGCAGGGGGATAAGTGGTATCAAGATTAGAGTTGATGGTCTGGAGGGGGATAAGTGGTATCATAAGTACACAGTTATACGACATAGTGATTTGCATTTTGCAGCAACATTTCCCTGGGCTGAGGGTCTGGTGGTGGATAAGTGGTATCAAGATTAGTGCTGAGGGTCTGGTGAGGGATAAGTGGCATCATGATTAGTGCTGAGGGTCTGGTGGGGGGGATGAGTGGCATCACAATTAGAGCTGAGGTTCTGGAGGGGGATCAGTGGTATCATAAGTACACAGTTATACGACATAGTGATTTGCATTTTGCAGCAACATTTCCCTGGGGTGAGGGTCTGGTGGGGGATAAGTGGTATCACTATTAGAGCTGAGGGTCTGGCGGGGGATAAGTGATATCACTATTAGAGCTGAGGGTCTGGTAGGGGATAAATGGTATCACGATTAGAGCTGAGGGTCTTGTGGGGGGTAAGTGGTATCAAGATTAGAGCTGAGGGTCTGGTGGGGGGATAAGTGGTATCACTACTAGAGCTGAGGGTATGGTAGGGGATAAGTGGTATCACGATTAGAGCTGAGGGTCTGGTGGGGGATAAATGGTATCACGATTAGAGCTGAGGGTCTGAAGGGGGATAAATGGTATCAGAACTAGAGCCAGTAAATCATCAGATTACTAATGTCAGGAAATGGCTGGCCAAGAAATGTCACAAACTCATCAGCATACTACACACAACTTTAATCTCAGCTACTCCACATACATCTAGCTCCATACACTGATACTGACTGGCCTGGTTTCTCTTCCTGCCTATCTAGGGGTCTATAGCATTGAATTGCAAAATGCAAAACCATTTTATCATTTGATTCTATTGTACACAAGACCACACAATTCGATTACACAACATCACAAATGCCCAGTTATTGGATTGGCTGTTGTCAAATTACATTGCAGGATATCACATTGTGAAAACCTTGTTAGTTCAAACCCTGCACTGTAACAACCTGTTTTGAAAATACGGTACCCACGTTCGACCAAGGGGCTTTGAAGAGAGCGTTTAGAGACTCCTTGGTTCCCTTCAATTTTGTTTTCAAAGAAATTCATGCTTCTTCTACTGTAACAAAGGAATCCAATGGGAACTGCTTTGTTTTGGTTGTGCCTTTGATTTCTGAAGGTTCACAAATGGTCGGCAGGTTGAATTTCTTAGTATTACCCAGTTGACTTTGTCAAAGAGTTGTATAATTATTAGATCTTCCGAAATCCTGCATAGATATAACAACAAAGCATAACGCTGCCTGCATGGAAATATGATACCTGTAACTTTTGCTGTCTTCACATATCCAGCATGATATAATAACAAAATATATATTTCCTTTATTGAAGTAAAACAAAAGTCGTGTGACCACTGCCTTGCACTGGGGCCCTGGGTCACAAATAGCACAAAGTAGCATACAAGTATCCACTGAGTTATAGTAACTCACAAGATGACATCAATAACCATAAATGATCTTTAAAGACCGTATCAAACGGAGCACCCAACTTTAATGTCAGCCTGTGACATTTGCTTTAAATGTTAAAAGTCCTTTAAAACATGTGCAGTTTGTTACAGAAAATACGCCACAGATATATGTTATAGAAGCGGGGCGGTCCTGTCTATGTACATTATCAGGATATATTAGTCTTCCTAGCATGCTGCTTTTAGACATTACTGTCAGCAAGAATTGATGACAGTCTTAGTATAGAGCTTCTTGGAAAATGGTAGGTTCATGATGCATACTGTATGATGAGGGTTGGAATTACTAGTGGGTGTATCTGCACTTTTGTGCACCCAAAATTGGATGTAATTGGACCTAATTTGTACCAGTGCACCGAGTTAGATGTTTGTATAGGGTTACGTACGAACACGCAGCGTATCCCTCTGAGCTGACATTTTAAGTTAAAACATTAAAACCTTTGCTGCATTACTTTTTTAAAAGTTATCTATAGAATTACAAACTCAAGCTCTGAAGGGAGACACTAATGTTTGTAATTGGGTTTTACAAACATTTTACTTAATTTCATGTTGCACACCCAAAAAATTTTCTGTGTACCTAGATGTTTAGGTGTGGTGCACATATTCCTAGTAAAAATGAATTTCAAGCTCTAACTTCTTAACTGGTTGGACTGACATGCAGCCAAGGTTGCCTAACTAGCCATTCACTATCATTATACTGTATATACTGATACTAACATGATAGCATTTATATACACTGCCCTTGTGTATTTAAGCCAGGCTGAAATATCTGACATAACCATAAATGCCAACATTTATTATGTCCTTACTCCAGATGTAATCTATCCGCATTAACCACTGTAGCACAGGGCATTTAATGAAACATGACTCCACCCATCATGAGGTAACGAGTTCCTAACGAACCTACCTGTAACGAGCATGATCACCGCTACAACAAGACAGACCATCGTGGCTAGAACCAGTAGACAGGAGGCAGCGTGCAGGGAAGAGTACATCCATACCAGGGGCAGCACTAACATATTGCACATGACTAACTCCCCTGTTGAACCTGTTCCCCTCAGCTGGAGGAAAGCAGCAGGGCATCCCCGCCTCCTGAAGGCATCTTTAGGCATCTAAGTTAGAGTTGCAATCCTCTGCACAGTCTATGTGTGACTGTACGTTCTCTCCTTGCAGGTCTCTGCTACTGACATGGCAGCGCGATATTCGAGCAGGCGACGGTTCTGCTGCAACTGCATCAGATTCTGTACACCTCGCTCCGCAAGAACTCTCTGGAGACCCGGGGAAAAATTAAACACTGCACTTCATTGCCGAGGCGGAGAGATGTGGTGAGCAAACGTGGCCGACCAATGGCAGCGCCCGCCCGCCACCATCAGCATACCCTGCATGTGTGGCCGGGTCTACAAGGCAAACATAACGGCCATATAAAGAAGGCCATTATATATCCTGGGTGAATCCACAGGGCAGCCCCCGGCACAGGACACCGTCTTGATGGATGCACAGTCTACATCTGCAGTACAGCTAAGGGCCGGGTCGGACCCTGTGACATCCCAACATCGGGGCAGGACTTGGCTAACTGTTACCCCGAGGCTTGTGTAAGCAGGGCTGCATGTAAAGCACTCTGTGGGACGACTCCTGCAGCCCAGCCTGGTGATATTGATTGCTGCATGTTGCAGGCATGTTATCCACCCTGCACACGTTTGTCTGTATCCTGAACCAGCCCCGCTGGGGGAACAAACCATTACCCGCCGTCTCAGAGGGGGGAGGCTGTGGAGCGCCGTAATTTATCTTGCTCACTTACCGGCTCTATTGTAAACAGATATGCACCCGGAGATGGGAAAATTAAACAGGATTTATTATTATTATACGATGCAATGCATTATTGGGTCATAATGTGAAAATTTTTCATTAAAATCAGTGGTTTGTTGCTTTTTTACTGATTTTATTGGCCTTTTAATTTTCATTTTCCTGGAACAGATTTGTTAACAGAAAGAATTCAAGTTCAACATGGTTTTATCATCATTTGAAATCAGTGTTTTATCTTACACTGGAGGTTGTTACATTTTTGAAACAAGCAGACTATATGCCAACATCTATTTCTGATTTTGTAATACTATGTACCACCGACTATAATCATGTAACCTAATCTTGTTACATAAAGGTTAAGGTTTGACTCTGACCTTTTCCATTATGACCACAACAAAAAGCAGCCAGCAGGTGAACTTGAGTATTCCATGAATAAACAAAGGCTAAAAGATACATGAAACATGTTGCACTGTGACAAATGGAGTATAGTATCAACATTTAGGGCTTGAAATTCATTTTTGGGAATAGGTGCACTGGTGCATCTTACCACCAGTGCACCTTACCTAAAATCTAGGTGCAACTGTCAGAAAATGTTTTGGGTGATCAACATACACTGAAGTACAGTATTTTGTGCATATCACCGCAAGTCCCCCCAAAAAATTCTGAGATCTATCAGACTTGAGGAGAAGATGAAATATACAACAAAAGATTTCTTACCTTCTTCCACAGTAGTGTTAGTCCCAAGTACATTCCACCCCGGCGGAAGGTTCAGACTTTCGAAGGCACTTGTCATCTGTACATCAAACGTGTCCACATCTTCCCCCACCAGGTCAAACTGTACATGCGGCGCGCTCGGGGAGTCTAACGGGGAGTCCTGATTGGTGGAGTTGTCGGCGAGTTGTCGTGCCATGTTCCAGGTCTTGTCGTGTGTGTACTGGAACAGTCCGGAGGCGATGATCTGGTGGTGGGCTACGCTGTCACTCGCACACACCGACACCTCCACTGTCTCCGCACAGTCATGGTCTGGGACAGGAAGGTGACAGAGAACTTTATTGACACAACAAAAAAGTACAGCGACTTTTGTAAGGTCTAAGACATGTAGATATACAGACAAATATACATGGGTACAACGAAAATATGCTACGTACAGAACAATAGGTGGGTCAACTAATACTACTTGTTCTAAGGTTTAAACATTCTTTGATATATTTACCAAATTTGTACACAGTAAGGGTTATTGCCATCTAGGATGAAATCTATAGCATGAAATGTATACATAACAAATTCTGTTGAGCAGGCGGAGAGAAGGTTGAACAGCTTTGTGACATCAGGAAGACCACTTCTTCATAATTTGCATATCAATCAATAGTTAGTGCTTATAAACCTGCATTTCTCCTGCAGTCTCTTAGTGTCACTGACGAAAGGTAGTGGATGCTACCTGAAAGGTCTGACCATTCCCAAAATCATATTCACTAAGTCTTGTCAAGTAACTGTTTTTTTGCATATCAGGAAGAGGACTGGTGTACAACAACATTTATGCCAGAGCAGGGAAGCGATAAAATTTGACACAGGCATTATGGCCTGTGTGATAACATGTGGTATCAAATGGGGTTTTATTTGGTTATCACAAGTTGTTACTCGCACACACCGACACCTCCACTGTCTCCACACAGTCATGGTCTGGGACAGGGGACAGGAAGGCAACATCAGGAAGGGGTGTATAACTACATTATGTCATAGCTTGGCAGCGATAAAATTTGACATTGGTGTTCCAGCCTATGTGATAACTTGAATGTGGTATCAAACAGGGTTTTATTTGGTTATCACTCTGGCTTCAAAATGTTTCACGTGCACCATTTTCAAAAATTTGAATACGAGATTTAGACATTGATATTGTTACAATCTTTTGTTTAGGGACACCAAATCTGCAACAGATACCAATACAGCAGGAAACTGAAGACCGATAATGTGGTAACCTTTGTACCATTCACTTCCTCCCAGCCTGCAGGGAGAGAATTTTGAACTCCAGTTTGACCTCAACCTTCATGTCAGTCATACTGTTATATGGCCTCAATGTAGGACTCAAAGTATCACCTGTATATGCAGGTTAGCAAAGGTATTTCTGATGTCTACCTGCACCTAACCTGCACTGGTCCATGTACTGGGTTTATATACATGTACCAGTAAAGCTAAGGTCCCAATTACGCCGGTGCCCGTCGGGGATGTAGCCCCGGCTGGCCCCGGCCGGGTTCAGGAGTCGAGCGGGCATCGGCTGTCGTGGTCACTATTAAAAGTTTCCTTCAGTAGTACCCGGGTTTACGAAGTACACACCTTTATTCTGTTCATCTGGTCTGTGACGTAAGAAATGTGTCCCGGTGGAATGCCGGCAACCGGAGGGGTACCTCTCGGTGTTCTCACGATGAGGTCACGGCGTCTTTTTGTCAGCGGGGCCCGGGTAGAATTTAACTCAGAATTAAATTCTTCTCGGGGCCCCGACGGGCCAAAAAATAGCCCGGTAGCCGCAGGGTGCCCCGCGGGGCCACGTCGGGGTCCCGCCCGAAAGTGGTAAAAAACAGCCCGGGAACTACCCGCCAGGGCCCCTTTTCCCAATTGGGACCTTAGCTTAACTACTGTACTGTAGGTCTTTGTGGATTTTTGTGCATTGATGAAATAATGGCAATGTTTTTTTAACAGTTTTTAGTGTAATCAATACTTTTTAAATTTTGAGCAGTGCAAGTCAATTGTCTGGAGTAGGTAATTTTCAATGTTACATGCACCAGTGCAGATATGCAGAAAAAAAGGATTTCGAGCCCTGACTTTTAGAACCTTGTTAGTTAAAACTCTGCATCGTAACAACCTGTTTTCAAACTACAGTATCCACATTCAACCCTTTGGCTTTGAAGAGAGCATTTAGAGACTCCTTGCTTCCCTTCAATTTTCAAATGTAAGCTAATCTGCAGCCTACCTAGTATAACTGCCTGTAAGGTGTAAGAGTTGTTCAAAGCCGGCATTGTAACAATCTGTTTTCAAAGTATAGTATCAACATTCAACTTTGAAGAGAGCATTTAGAGACCCTTGCTTTCCTTCAATTTTCAAACGTAAAGTAATCTGCAGCGTACCTGGTATAATAGCCTGTAAGGTGTAAGAGTTGAGCTGCCTACCTGGTATAACAGCCTGTAAGGTGTAAGAGTTGAGCTGCCGTGCGATGGTGATGTGTCTCTGCTGAGACCCGCGGAAGATGAGGAAGAACTCATGCTCCTCAGGCAGGGGGCTGTCTTCTGCAAAGGCAGCCACGATCGTACTCCCTCCCTGCAAATAACAACAACAAAACAGATCAGATTTGGTGTGATGTTGGTATGGTACATGTGTACAAGGTAGGTCTATGTACAATGTTGGTATGAAAAACTGTCAACTTTTACACTCAAAACAGTCCAAGAGGACCAGGACTATGTGAATGCAGTAAACAGTCAACGGGGAAATTATCTACCGGTAACTTATTCTAAGGTACGACCAGAAAGTGACCAGGTGGTCCTTATGTAGCAGAGGTAGCACAGGTTTGACTGTATATTCATCAATGTGGTCACAAGTTTGACTGTACTTCCTGACAGAGGTTATGACACAATTTAACCACATCCCAAAGTACTACAATTAGCCTATATTGTACATGTAACTTAGAAACTTGAAAAAAGAAAAGAAAAGAGAAAGTATAAATGTACCACCAACAGCATGCACATGATTCTTGCACTGTCACTTAATCACACAAAAGCTTTCAGTTTAAGGGAGCATTCGCACAGGTTTCCACATACATGACTGCTAATTACCCAACAAGAACCAGACCAGACAGGAAAGCCACAACAGACAAACATCTCCTGTCAATTGCGCAATGCTCCACCACAGGTCAAAGGTTAGTCAAGCCAAGGTCAGGACAGCAGCGAGCATATCTGACTAACACGGCGCCCCGTGACTTCCTGCTAACTCAGGATTAAGGGGACACCCTCAAATTTTATTTCGGGCCTCAGTTCAAGGCTGTATATTCATTAAGTCTACATGTAGCCGTGACTTCCAAGGAATACGTCGTTGGTGAAGGTTAGACATCTAGGTAATAAGATATGCCAAAAAGCAGTTACGGTACCCAGTTGCTTGAGTAACTGCTTTTTGGTGCTTCCAAGGAATAAGTTTGAGAATATGACCATAATTTTCTATCTCTTCATCTTCATCTCAGACCCACTTCCAATACTAAACTGGATGCTCTAATTTCTCTCTTCTTTTGCAATTTGTCACCCTCAGCTTAAGTGTATCATGATACTTTTTCAAGTAGCTACTAACTCATTAAAAACCTTCTAGAACAGAAGGTTAGGATGACAATTGTCAGCTGATTTGTCTTTTACCCAGATATTCACCATTAAAGCATTAACACATCTGTCACCACCTCCAAATAACAACACAGCGGCAAGTTATATTTACAGACAACGTTATGAAGAAAACAGCAAAAGAAAGGGACCCGCCGCCACAAACAAGCGGGGGCCTCGATAAACAAACGCACCACCTTTTCATGTCAGCAGTTATTCCTGTAGAGACTGATAATCTCACTCCGCAAAGGGTTCAAAGCTCAGGGCAACCGTGCTGCAAATAATTCCCATGAAACCCAAAATATATGCACAAAGGCGTAGAACAAAGAGGGAAGAAACGTGATCCCTACAAAACGACTGCTTGAGGTCAGCGCGTGCTGGTGTGTTTAGCTTGCCTTACATCTTCTGCTGAAAGAGAGCTCTGTGAATGGGAAGAGTGTCCTATTCTTTGGCGACAGAAATCCTATATGCCAGTCGTTATGCCCCGTTGCAAATATAAAGACATTTTGGCAGCAGATATACATTTGGAATATCGATATCTGATATTTATCATAAAATATGCTGTGCTATAAACCTTGTAGCATTTCAAGTCATGCAACTTCTCTGTGCTACAAAGCTGTAAATTCCTATGTTACTTCACAGCTGCAAAATTTAGCAAAACATTATATTCAATTTGATCAAACATCAAAACTGACATGACAATGAGGACAACCTCTAGATGAGGACAACCTGGCCAATGTGACCAGGTATTCTTGGACTTCATGATTGATTTTCAAACTAGGCTCAACTTTTGAGTTCTAAATTTTATACCTTATCTCTGTGGGTTCTAAGAAGCCCCTGTTTTGTTGAAAGTTATTGACCAACAATGAATATGTTACAGTGCCACCTATCTACAACAAGGAATCCTGCAAGGAAATCTTTCCTTTGGAACAGGTGGTGATGTCATGATGAACTGTCACTTTGAAATACTCTCCAAGCAGAGGTTGGTGGGGAAGATTGTTACCTTTCTATATATGCCATCTTTTTGTCGCTACTCCCCCCCCCCAAAAAAAAGTCGGGAATAATCTAGAAAGGTAACAAATCTTCCCCACCAAACCTCTGCTTGGAGAGTAAAAT